AAAAAGACAAGCGTACAGCGAGGTTTTGCTTTCGGTTCTACAAATGATGAACACTAGGGGGTGCTAACAGCAAGCCAAACCTTTCTAGTTCCCTTTAATGTAACTCAAAGGATTATTAGTGGTTAAATGTGTTGGGGAAAGCAGAGTATTTTTCTGCAGAAATTTTAATAAAGAATATATTTGTGAAGGTGTGGTTGCAAACAGTGAGCTGGTCAAGCTGAATGCTTCTGTCGCTCTACTGCAGTTTAACCGATGTTTTGATCCGCCTTTTTTTCATGTTTACGACGGTTGTTTTGCACAGGTTTTCAAGAAACTTCACCCTGAGGATTCCCATCCACTGTTATTCCTTATTATGTAAAAAACTGAGGAAAGTCACATATTCAGCTGCATTCTGCATCAGGCCGATCTGTCGATGTAACTGTCAGAGAGCTCAGCGGCAGAAACTGTGGAGTCAGGATATTTATGAAGTTTAAAACAATGACTTCAGCTGTTTTTTTCTCCTTTAAGTTTGAACAATCCTGTAAAACTGAGACGTTGGTAAATTTTAAAACTTGGGAGTTTATGAAAATCATCAGAAAAGAAATACTTTTTTAAATCCTGGCATTAGCTTTAATTAAAATTATGTGTAATTAATGGACTTTGTGCTGTCCTGAAAACTAGAGGAGTTATATTAGATGTCCTGATTATTTTCACCGTCTCATTGTTATTCTACTTTCTTTGGTATGTTTTTATTTCTCAGTCTCTGTATTTTTCTCTCTGATTGTGATGCTCCTCAGGTGGAGGTTCTGATTGCCATCAGCAGTGTGACATCCCCGCTGCTCTTTTCAGCCTCTGGCTTCCTCTCGTGCAGCGTGATCAACTTTATTGAAATATTCCTTTACGACGTGCCCACAGCCAAAGTGAGTTAAATCAAGCATGAGTGTGTGTGTGAAACATTTAGGTAACTAATTGTGTGTAAATCCAAATATGAATAAAGAAGCACAGATGTTAAGAGCATCATAAGTGATAAATGGGCAAATTTTTCTGATTTCTTCTGCGTGTGTCTCAGCAATCCTATGACATCCTGCTGTTGATTCTGATGGTGTTGCTGCTAGTGCAGGCAGTTCTTACTTCAGCCACTGTGGTGCACTGTGCAACATACAAGAGTCACCTCCATGCAAGGGCTTCAGAATGTGAGGAGAACATGATGCTGACCGCAGCTCATTACCATGAGGTATGACAGGTGCTGAGGGTGTAAAACAGTTGTAAACCTGCTGTTTGAAGTGGGTTTCAGTTCGTATTTAACACCACGTCTGTCCTTCTCCATCTTTGTGTTTGGCTAGCAGCAACAGATTCCCAACGGAACACTGCAGGATCATGACAAAGACAGAGCCTGGAAAGCAGTTCTGGTCCAAATGGCTCAATGAAAGGTTCTGTTGAATACACAGAATTGCATCCTGGGTTGAAAGCAAACATTTTAATAAGGTATTTAGAATATGTTTGCAACAGGTTGGCTGATGGGAAGATTGGATTGAAAAGAGGAGAGGACAAATGCAAATGAAGTCTAAATACAGAGGAAGAGGGGTTAGGTTTGTTGCATAAAAAGGCATTTAGCACTTTGTTGATTTGTGTGTCTTCTGCTTTTTTCTAATGACTTGTTATTGTTCTTGAACGCTAAAAGTAGTTTTTTCTGCATTTAATGACTGATGGCTTGTCTAATTTTTTTTCACATTTATATCATCAAATACATTTAAATGATGTAATTTACACAAAGGTGAATTGTTTCCGTGCAAGTATAGACTCCACCACACATAATTTTCACAAATGTGAAAGATAGTAAATGGTACAATTTAAAACGAAGAGATTTTGCTATCAATAAAAGTAAAAGTAACATTATCCTCAGGATCTTAGTGGAAACAGGTTAATTACTTCTGATTCACACTTGCAAACATGCGTTGTGATTGAAATGACGTTCTGCATTAGCGTAAATATTTTCTTTGAATAAATATGTGTTTGAAATGTTTATGGGCTGAATGTTTTTTGGTTTTTTGTTGTTGCTAAAAAACTGCCAAAGTTCTGCTAGAGCCTGCTCAAAGCAGGTTACAGCGGGGATGTCACACTGCTGATGGCCACACACACACACACACTTAAACATATATATATATATATATATATATATATATATATATATATATATACTTCTCCTTGAACCGTCACCTTATCGTGGTGGAGGAGTTTGAGTGCCCTAATGATCCTAGGAGCTATGTTGTCTGGGGCACTTTGTGCCCCTGGTAGGGTCTCCCATGACAAATTGGTCTTAGGTGAAGGGTGAGACAAAGAATGGTTCAGAGGATCTTTCATGGATGAACTATCAAGGAGTCGGAGTACCCGGCCCGGAGGGTTACTGGGGTCCCACCCTGGAGCCAGGCCTGGGGTTGGGGCTCGTGAGCGAGCGCCTGGTGGCCGGGCTTTCGCCCATGGGGCCTGGCCGGGCCCAGCCCGAACCGGATATATGGGCTCATCCAACTGTGGACTCACCACCTGCAGGAGGAACATGAAGGGTCTGGTGCAATGTGGATCGGGTGGCAGACCGAGGCGGGAGCCTTGGCGGTCCGATCCCCGGACAAGGAAACTGGTTTTGGGGACATGGAACGTCACTTCGCTGGCGGGGAAGGAGCAGGAGCTTGTGGCAGAGGTTGAGCGGTACCGGCTAGATATAGTCGAACTCACCTCGACACATAGCATTGGATCTGGAACCCAAGTCCTTGAGAGGGGTTGGACACTCTCCTTTGCTGGAGTTGCTCCGGGTGAGAGGCGGAGGGCTGGGGTTGGCTTTTTGTTAGCCCCAAGACTCTCTGCCTGTGTGTTGGAGTTTACCCCGGGGGACGAGAGGGTAGCTTCCCTGTGCCTTCGGGTCGGGGAACCGGTCCTGACTGTTGTTTGTGCTTATGCGCCAAATATCAGTTCAGAGTACCCACCCTTTTTGGAGTCCCTGGGACGAGTGCTAGATAGTGCTCCATCAGGGGACTCCATTGTCCTGCTGGGGGACTTCAATGCTCACGTGGGCAATGACAGCTTGACCTGGAGGGGTGTGATTGGGAGGAACGGCCCACCTAATCTGAACTCGAGCGGTGTTTTGTTATTGGACTTCTGTGCAAGCCGCAGTTTGGCCATAACGAACACCATGTTCGAACATAAGGATGCCCACCGGTACACTTGGTACCAGGGCAGCCTAGGTCGCAGGTCGATGATAGACTTTGTAGTCATATCATCTGACCTGCGGCCGTATGTTTTGGACACCCGAGTGAAGGGAGGAGCGGAGTTGTCAACTGATCACCACCTGGTGGTGAGTTGGATCAGATGGCAGGGGAAGATGCTGCGTAGATCTGGCAGACCCAAACACATTGTGAGGGTCTGCTGGGAATGCCTGGCAGAAGAACCTGTAAAGACGGTCTTCAACTCCCACCTCCGGTAGAGCTTTGACCGCGTCCTGAGAGCAGTGGGGGACATTGACTCCGAGTGGGCCTTGTTCCAGTTTGCGATTGTTGAAGTGGCTGTTGCTAGCTGTTGTCGCAAGGTGGCCGGTGCCAGTCGTGGTGGCAACCCCCGTACCCGCTGGTGGACACCAGAGGTTCGGGGAGCCGTCAGGCTGAAGAAGGAGGCCTACAGGGCGTGGCTGGTCTGTGGGTCTCCAGAGGCAGCAGACAGGTACCGGATAGCCAAGCGGGGTGCAGCAGTGGCAGTTGCCGAGGCAAAATCTCGGGCGTGGGAGGAGTTTAGTGAGGCCATGGAGAAAGACTATCGATCGACTCCAAAGAGGTTCTGGCAAACTGTCCGGTGCCTCAGGACAGGGAAGCAGCAACTCGCTCACACTGTTTACAGTGGGGATGGGGAGCTGCTGGCGTCAACTGAGGCTATAGTCAGACGGTGGAAGGAATACTTTGAGGAGCTCCTCAATCCCACCTACACGCATTCCGAGGAGGAACCAGAGCCGGGAGACCTGGGGATGGACTGTCCAATCTCTGGGGCAGAAGTTGCTGAGGTAATCAAACAACTACACAGCGGCGGAGCCCCAGGGGCGGATGAGATTGGTCTTGGGTATCTCAAGGCTATGGATGTTGTAGGGCTGTCATGGTTGACACGTCTCTACAACATTGCGTGGTCATCGGGGGCAGTTCCTGTGGAGTGGCAGACCGGGGTGGTGGTCCCCATCTTTAAGAAGGGTGACCTGAGGGTGTGTTCCAACTATAGGGGGATCACACTCCTCAGCCTCCCTGGAAAGGTCTACTCCAAGGTACTGGAGAGGAGGGTCCGATCAATAGTTGAATCTCAGATTGAGGAGGAGCAATGTGGTTTTCGTCCTGGCCGTGGAACTGTGGACCAGCTCTATACCCTTTCAGTGGTGATGGAGGGGGCATGGGAGTTTGCCCAACTAATCCACATGTGTTTTGTGGATTTGGAGAAGGCTTATGACCGTGTCCCGAGGGGCACCCTGTGGGGGACGCTCCAGGAGTATGGGGTGGGTGGCTTTCTGTTAAGGGCCATTCAGTCCCTTTACCAGAGGAGCGTGAGTTTGGTCCGCAGAGCTGGTAGTAAGTCGGACCTGTTCCCGGTGAGGGTTGGACTCCGCCAGGGCTGCCCTTTGTCACCGGTTCTGTTCATCACCTTTATGGACAGAATTTCTAGGCGCAGCCGTGGTGTGGAGTGTGTCGAGTTTGGTGGCAAAAGAATCTCGTCTCTGCTTTTTGCGGATGATGTGGTCCTCCTGGCTTCATCCAGCTCTGACCTTCGGCTCTGGCTGGGTAGGTTCATGGCCGAGTGTGAAGCGGCTGGGATGAGGATCAGCACCTCCAAATCTGAGACCATGGTTCTCTACTGGAAAAGGGTGGCTTGCCAACTCCGGGTCGGGAGAGAGATCCTACCTCAAGTGGAGGAGTTTAAGTATCTCGGGGTCTTATTCCCAAGTGAGGGTAGGAGGGATCGGGAGATCGACAGGCGGATTGGTTCAGCATCTGCAGTGATGCGGACGCTGAGCCGATCTGTCGCGGTGAAGAGGGAGCTGAGAGAGAAAGCCAGGCTCTCGATTTACCGGTCGATCTACGTCCCAATCCTCATCTAAGGTCATGAGCTTTGGGTAATGACTGAAAGAACAAGATCGCAGGTACAACTGGCCAAAATGAGTTTCCTCCGTAGGGTAGCCGGGCTCAGCCTTGGATATAGGGTGAGGAGCTCGGACATTCAGGAGGGACTCCGAATAGAACCGCTGCTCCTCCGGATCGAGAGGAGTCAGTTGAAGTGGTTTGGAATTCTGGTCAGGATGCCTTCCGGACGCCTCCCTGGGGAGGCGTTCCATGCATGTCCTGCCGGCAGGAGGCCCCCGGGTCGACCCAGGACACATTGGAGAGGTTACATCTCCAATCTGGTCCGGGATTGCCTTGGTGTCCTGCCGGAGGAGTTGGTGGAGGTGGCCGGGGAGAGGACGGTCTGGAGCTCCCTAGTTGGGATGCTGCCTCTGCGACCCAGACCCGGATAAGTGGAGGAAGATGACGACAACGATATATACATATACATATATACATATACATATATACATGTTTATATACACATACATATACATACATATGCATATGTGCATATATATATATATACATTTACATACATATACATATATAAATAAATACTTTATATATATATATATATATATATATATATATATATATATATATATATATATATATATATATATATATATATATATATATATATATATATATATATATATATATATATATAAGGATAAGGAAAAACATGAGTGATTTACTGAGTGCACATTGCTACAACATACACACACAAATATATTTATTCTGCTTTAATACAGTAATAGCAGCTTTATTTTCTCCTGGTGCTAATGTTCTCTGATCCATTAACTTTAGGACATTCTGACCTTTTCATAGGTTGTATCTGAAATTATTTTTTCCTGGTGATTGTGAGTCATAATAAAGAGAAATCTCAATAAAGATCTGCACATGTAGACAGCTGTGGCACAGAATTTATGTCCAACTGAGTCAAAACGATGCTCTCTATTCTTTTAATGTTTAAATGATGAATCAAAAATGCTTCTTATCAAATGATTTTGCAACCTCTGTAAAGTTTGTGTGGCCTTGTTTAACTTCTTAATAATATAGAGATGTTCTTAAAATACAACCTTGTTCCAAATGTTAGTTATTCTAAATGAGGATGAATTTATCCAGATGTTGTTGCTCATAACCGCTCTATTGTGTAAAAAAAATTCCACTAGTGTTTTCTGCAGTCAAATAATTATAAGTAGTGCTTTTTCACAGAAGAGTTTTCACATTTGTAGCTTTAAAAGCTGGAGCTTTATTTTCACCAACCTATTTCATAATTGCATTAATGCTTGACCGAGGAAGCTCGGGTTTCTTATTGCAGGATTCATCATTGATTATTTTAGTGCTCAGATTTCCAGGAGGATGCTTAGAAAAGCTCATGGCTGCAGGACAAGTTTTATTTATTTCAAAATGTGAGCATTTAAATAATATAACTCTTAAAATATTACATTGATCATTAGGTGTGTTACAAGTGTGAAAATATATTTTTAAATGCATAATTAGCGTGTATCCTTTGGAGATCTGTCTAAACTTTAGTGTCTAAAACTGTGTCTGTTTAGCTTCCTTTATTCCACCATGACAGGAAGCTGCGCTATATTTGGAAACAGTGCGTGGAGTGGGTTCACCAACCGGCGGAAACCGGCTTGAGGGGGAAAACTGACTTGTAGTTCGGTTTGGTGGCTGAGCACAAGACGCGCGCGCACAAAGGATGAGTCAAGATCAATAATCCCAGCAGTGAACCAAAAATCTGTCTACTGCAAAAAATAGTATAAAGGAAAAAAACTTACAACGCTTCTGATTTTGTCCTTGTCCGGGATGTGGATTGAAAAATAATCTGATAAACTACCTGTGGATCCAAAACTCTTGGTTTTGCCACCAGGTTGCAAGTTCATATAGGTTCTTTTAAAACCTTTCAGTGGAGCGCAGATGGAGGAGGAGATGCTGCTCGCCTCACCCGTGCGTTTGAATGACAGACATCTTTCCCATCACTTCCCTTCATGTGTCCCAGCCACACACCTCCAGATGATGGACGTGTTGCAGACACCTATCAACGAGCTGCCAGCGCCTTGCTGTTTGGTTGTGGACTAAACAAACAGGATTTGAATTATAGCCGGGTCCAATTGAGCCAATTGGAGGGGCTAAAAGTGACCTAAAACATGCGTGATTATAATGTTTTATTGAAGATTAAACCCGGATGTAAATAAATGAACCCTGATCTGAACCATTTTTCTTTGTTCTGCTTCATTCAACTGAAATCTGTTCTCTCATCTTCTGTTTGAGGAAGAGGCAGGGAAGAGGAGGATAGATGAGAGGAGAGGAGAAGGTTGGAGACTCTGAGGGAGGGGAGCAGGGAGCGGGTAAGGCGGAACAATCCTCTCCAACCCTCTCTGAGCTCGGATCCATGCTGTAGCTGCTCGCCCGCACTGCAGATTAACTCTTCCCGCGCCGGGAGACGCTGCAAGCCGCGGTGAGTAAATTTTATTCTCATCATCCCGCTGCCCGCACATGACGCCGCGATGTGAGGCTTGTCAGGTCCGGTTAGGAGCAGATAGACAGCTGATGCAGATGGAGCCGTTGCACTCTTGTCTCGTGCTCGCGCGCACACGCACATACTTCCCTGACACGGAGCGATGCGCTGATGTTTGGCAGCTCGCCGCCGGCTTTCCTGGAGCTGTCCGCCACTCAGGTGCTGAAGCAGCGCGTCATCCGCACGCAGCTGCGGTTAAACTGTCATCTCATGTCTCCTCCTGGTCGCGATCGTCCCGGACTCATGGAGCCTTCAGAAGTCTGACCAGCTCTAGGACATTATGATCTTTTCATTTAACCTTTGTACTCTGTGGAGACTTGCTTGGGAACAGAGTCATTCATCACGTTTTTTTCTAAATTGTGAAGCCATGCGATCACATTTGTTTCCTCAATGTCAGAGAACAAGTGGCGTTTCCCTCCTGAAAGTTCTCTCCTCCTCTGCCATCATCTAGTAAATAATAAACAGAGTTCTTCCGCTTTGATCCTGGAGCCTATAACTGTGTTTATTTATGGGTGCACTGGTTACACTGCAGCTAAAAAAGGCGGGAATACCGGTGCATCACCCGTCTGAGGAGTAGAGTCTGTCAGGACAAAAGCCATGAATCCCAGACAGCTCCAGAAATGTGTCACTGCTCCTTTAAATCTAAATTATGCAAACTTTACCTCTCCTCTGATCACCCTTGAGGCAGTTTAAGGATAAAGTTAGGAGCAGCCAGTAAAGAGGAGGGTTGCATGCTTCGATATCTACAAAAGGAACATCTTGTTCTCTATCGTAATTGCTATGTTAAATATGAAACTGCTCCTAAAGGTTCCTCTATTCCTGATCACTCATCATGTGTGCCTAAGTCTGACTAGAGTGCACTAATTGCCCCTTGCATAACAGACTAAAGATTCACCTCTCTAAGTTATTAAATATATCTCACGACCCTGGTTTAGAGAGCTAGGATGAGCTGCTCCTTGTGTGATCAGGGTGAAGAGGGCAGAAAAAGTGGAAGAGGACTAAGAACTGTTGATGCAGCAGTGATTTATTCCCATTCATTCATTTAACATTCATATAACCTTCATGTAAAATGAGCATGCTGCAGGCACTTGTCCTGCGCTCTGGTTATGCATACTGCAAACTTTTATGAACACATAAAAGCATGAAGAGGTGGTGATATCACTGACAACGTCTAGGTATGTGTGAATATTCTGTGTCACATCAGCACCCAGGAGGGATTCTGATATCAGGTTCGACTAATCACCTTCTGTCTCACAACTTTTCCATTTGTTTATTTTAATACCGGTGAAACAGAATAGAAAATAAAACAATAAAAAGTCATGTTCCAGCTTTAATATTTTAAGTTAGAATTTCTAACCATTTCTTTATTTGTTCTTTTATCCAAGAAACCAGACTTTATCATAATCCCTTAATGATCAACATGAAGGCTTTTCAGTATTTTTATGTAGATTTTGGCTCCATTTTCATTTTTTGTTCAGCTCTTATGCATTTTGCAGTGAGTGTGTGTGTGATGTGGGGTGTGTGTGTGTGTGTGTGTGTGTGTGAAGTTTAAAGAGGGGGCAAACGGAGGACAAAAACTAGCAGATGAAATGAATCAGGAAGATATTTCTTTTCTCCTGAATTTCACACGAGGAAATTAAATTTAGTTTTACGCTTACAAACTTTTAAACTCTTAGTTGAGCTTTTAGGACATAAAGCACAATTATGCAGCACGTTGCTTGTTTTAGATCATGGACACAGCTGATTTGTTTGGCTTACTGATGAACCGCTCCTGTAGACACTAATGAAAGCTGAGGAGACATTTTAACTATTAGATTTGTCACATTGCGAGCGGGAGGAGGTTAGGAGAACACCAGACGACACGAGGCAGGGGCGAATTTAAAAAGTAAAATCCTTTATTTAGGATGATGAACCAAAAATCCAAAAAGGGCAGGAAGCCAATCAAAGACAGAGAAATAAACAAAAAAGCTCACTTATGAGCAGAGACCTGGGGGGACGACACAACGCTGACAAACAACAATGGGCCGACACACATTGAGAGACGAGACTGGGTTTTATACACAGAGGGAAGCAATCAGGGAAACAGGTAGCAGATGTGTGGTGAGTGTGAACCAAAGTGACCAGGAGAGACTAATTAACTAAGTGGGAGAGAAACACATTGTACAAAAGGAAGATACTGACTTAATAGCATAAATGTACAGAGAACTAAAGGTAAGCAAACTAATAAACCTGAAACTAGAGACACCTGGGGGGAAACCAGGAGGGAGCTGGGGACCAAAAGGGGCACAGAAGACCAGGGGACACACGAGGGGAACCTGGAGGAGGCTGGGGACCACAAGGACACAGAACATGACAAGATTAAGTTGTTAAAAAGACGAAAGCACTGAGAGGAGATCCGTTTTTTCCTTTTAGTTCTACTAAGTGTGCACTACGGGGTGCTAAAAGCAAGCAAATCTACAAATTGTTCTTTTAAAAGAACGTCTGCTTCCTGAATATAAGACATGAAGAAAGACGGGATGACGCAAGCCTTAGTCAGTACTGTGTGTGCTAATAAGATACATCATTGAAATAATCATACACAAAAACACATTTTTATTGCTCCCAACTTCTTTTTTGTCTTTCAGGATGGGATTGGTGGGATCATTTCTATACTAAAGCTCACATAACAACTCCTGAGCCCACAATTCCTCTCCCTGGGGAGAACAAGAACTCCCCCTAAACTCGGCTCATTCCTCAACCTGCCACACACAGAACTCTTGGACCAAGGTCAGACTCTTTAGAGTCAGAGTAAATCACAGAGATGCTCACCAGCACCTGCTCTTCTATAGGAGATGACCTTCGTGCAACTGCAAGAGAATCTAAGCTCTGAAAATCTCAAATCTGATTCACCGCTTTGCCTCAAATGGTGAGCAGGGCTGATGCTGTCCACACATTCTTGTGTGTGTCTGCTTCATATTGTTCTGACAAGACCCTAACCGCACCAGGAAGCATCCAGTCTCACCTCTGTCCCAGAGGGGCGTCGTAGACTCTCTCCTCGTTCCGCATGCAGAACATCCTCGACCAAAACCTAGACATGGCCACAGCGCTGCTCGCTGGTGAGAAGCTGAAGGAGCTCATCCTGCCGGGCTCCTCTCAGGATGAGAAGGGCGGGGCACTGGCTGGCCTAATGGTGCAGCTTAAACTGGAGCTACCCTTTGACCGAGTCGTTACCATAGGAACGGTCATCATCCCCATCCTCCTGGTCACTCTGGTCTTTACAAGGAATTTTGCAGGTGAGATTTACAGCAAATGGAGGTGAGATTTACAGCCACTTTTTGACAGTTTAATGCAAACTTGACATTTATTACATTAAAGAGAGACGATGGCATGCAAACGGGGGAATACTGGATGGGAGTTAAATAGAAGGAAGACTGGGATGGACTGTTGGAAGGAAAGTGACAGGGGAGTCGGATTAAGATGCAGAGTGGAGAAGATGGGTGGGATGCTTGTTTGTTGCTGAGTCAGACTTTCTGGTGCCGCTACTACCAGCTGGGACTCAGCGTTTAACTTGCACAGCAAGAAAAGTGTGGGTGTGAAGACAGTTTAACTTTTTCAAAAAACAAAAAGAATTTCCAAACGTTTTTAAAGCTAAAACCACCAAAGTGTCACGAGCTAATGACACTTTTCAAATTAAATTTCAGAAAATATGTTTTTTTTTATCAGAGAATCAGATGTTGCATCTCTAACTTCCTGCAGCACTCAAACAGACATGAAGTGATGTTCCCTTTTCCTCTAGTTGAATCTGACACGTGGTTATCATCTCAGAAAAGCGTTTGTGAAAGATACACAACACAACAAAAACACATAAACATGATTTTTAAAGATGCTCAAGGATTAAACTCTTCAGAAAATTGAACAGAAATGAGAGTTACAGCACTTTTTATTCATCAAGTTGAATTTTAATATGAAATAAAAACAGTCGGTAAAGAAATTGTCTGTGGATCTGCCACAACAAGGGTTAGCATTTCAGCTTTTGCTAGTTAGATACACAATTTTTCCAAATGTGTCGTATATTTTGGGAACAGAAAGTCGTAACTGAAAAAAAGCAGCGAAAAGAACATCCATGATTCTGTTTTGTATTTTTTTCAAGCAACAATTAAGAAATAATGACTGTTTCTCCTGTTTCAGAGGAATCCATATACTGTTACACACCACACAACTTCACCCGAGACCAGGCACTGTATGCGAGAGGCTACTGCTGGACGGAGCTTCGTGACGCTACTCCTGGTGTGGAGCCTCACCTCTGGCCTTCCCTGTTTGAACACAAGTTCCTGCCCTATGCCCTGCTGGCCTTTGCTGGAATCATGTACATTCCAGCTTTGGGCTGGGAATTCCTCGCCTCCACTCGCCTCACTTCAGAGCTCAATTTCCTGCTTCAGGAGATTGATAACTGCTACCATCGAGCTGCAGAAGGTCGAGCTCCTAAAATAGAAAAGCAGATCCAGTCGAAAGGACCGGGCATCACTGAGCGGGAGAGAAGAGAGATCATAGAAAACGCTGAGAAAGAGAAAAGCCCTGAGCAGAATCTGTTTGAGAAATATCTAGAAAGACGAGGCCAAAGTAACTTTTTGGCTAAGATTTACCTGGCACGCCACCTGGCTATCATCTGCCTCAGTTCAATCCCAATTTCCTACCTGAGCACCTACTATGCTCGCCAAAGGCAGAATGAGTTCACCTGTGCATTAGGTGAACCGCCAGATATAAGCAGCTATCAGGAGCTAAAACTCAGGGTAAACTGCAAGCTGCCTGCTGTGCAGCTGCAGCGCATCATGGCAGCGGTGGACTTAGCCCTGCTTTGCACGATGAACTTCATCATCCTTCTAAACATGCTATATTTGTTTGTGGTGCGCAAGTCCAACTTTGTGTTTGACAAACTGAATAAAGTTGGGATCAAAACGCGTCGGCGCTGGCAGAAGTCCCCGTTCTGTGACATCAACATCTTGGCCATGTTCTGCAACGAGAACAGGGACCACATCAAGTCTCTAAACCGACTGGACTTCATCACTAATGAGAGTGACCTCATGTATGACAACGTTGTCAGGCAGTTGTTGGCTGCGCTCGCACAGTCCAACCATGACGCCACGCCCACTGTGAGAGAATCTGGGATACAAACAATCGATCCCAACATGGACCCTTCGGACCTCACAATGGGAGAAATGGGTGGAGAGCCGCTGGTCATCAAGAGGCCACGCAAAAAGATGAAATGGATTCCGACGTCGAACCCTCTTCCTCAGTCCTTCAAGGTAAACCCGCTGCTTGTAAATAATTCAGAAGTGATTCAACCTCACCAATCCAAGCTTAAAAAGAAGCCTTGCTAAAAATTCATGTTTGCTGCTTGAATGTAATCTATGCGACCTGTAAAATAATCATCTTCTTTGTGTCTTTTGTGATTTAAAGGAACCGCTCACTCTGACACGTTTGGAAAACAACACCAAGCCTGAGAAGCCCAAACCACTCAGACGCAAAACTGTGGCAGACAGTCTAATAGCACCACTGCTGGATAGCAAAGGCACACAATACCCTTCTACAAAAGGTATAGCTACAATATACTGAGTGTAGATTGTAAAAGGTGTGGAACACAGAAAAAAAAGACAATCGGTCACACACACAGAGTTTTTCATGCAGGCTGAACATGAAAACAGTCTCCTACACCTATGTCCTGCATTAGCTTCTGATAAAAAATAAACGGTGAAACACTAGGGTTTGAAAGTTCTGACAGAGTTGCATCACACTGTCACTTAACATTCATGGACTCACCCATCTTGACTCAGGACGAGGAAGGGCTGTTGTTGGTTTAGGCCCTGTCCACACGTAGCCGGGGATCTGCCAAAACGTAGGTATTTTTCTACGTTTTGGCCTGTCGTCCACACGAAAACGGAGTTTTTTCACACGAAAACGGATCTTTTTAAAAACTCCGGCCAAAGTGAAGATCTGCGTTTTCTCCGTTTTGGGTGTCTGCGTGTGGACAGACAAAACTGGAGTTTTAAGGTCCGCAACGTCACTTTCCGCGACAAAAAACTGCTGACATCACGTGTGCGACCTGTGTTTACACTAGCCGACAGCATGGATGCCCTCAGAGCTGCGCTCGCTTTATCAAAGGTCCAAGCGCTTTTTGCTTGTTTGTTTTTGCAAGCAGAATTACTGCTCCTTGCGGAAGACCACAGACAAAGGACGAGGTTAAGAACGGGGGAAGTACTGCCACCTACAGGTCTGGCATGTCCTTAACAACGTATTTATCCGGGTACGTGTGGACAGAGTTTTTTTTTTAAACGAGGTGGTGTGGATGCAAGTTTTTGGAGGGGCGGATATTCGTTTAAAAAGAACCCGGCTACGTGTGGACTAGGCCTCACTGTCCAGGAAACAGAAGAGAGTGTCTTGGCTGGTAAAAGCTAACTGTTAACATTAGCAACTCCACCCCATGGCAGAACTCCTCCAGGCTTGAGTTATTTGTAGAGATAAAACATCCATGTTGCAGAGCAAACGTAGTGCTATGTGCAAGGCATCCATTCCTACTAGAGACCACAGCAAACGTAGTGATTAAACGAGTGTCACGCACCTTTAATTACTCTTCACAGAGGCAACAGCTTCTTGTGGATGTAGAAAATGGGCAACATTGCTGCAGCACACCTTGATGCAATTAGCTACCAAACATTCTGGCATTTTTCCAGTTTTGCAGGGAAAAAAGACCCTTTTCAGTTCACTTAGTGCCAATAATTAGCCTTCTTGCGATAGTATTCAATCATTTTGCAACATGATCTGTTTGTGTCATTATTAGCAGACCTGAGTGGCGTGGACAAAAAGCACACACGAAACTTCTCCCTGGATGTCCATCCGTACATGCTGTCAAATCGTAAGCCCAAGGTGGAGCCTGTGACCTCCCTGCCACCAGAACACAACATGGACACAGTTTACCTTGAAGGCACACACACCATTGTTCATGTGTCCTGTGCACTTACAGGTATGGCTTATAGTAAGTTGTCCTAAATAAAGGAAACATCCAAGTTTAGCTCTCTTTTACAATGAATATTTAAAGGTGTGGTTCACTGAAAAAAACATTTTTATAATGAATATTTCTGATTATAATTGGTCACTGTGAGTTTTTCATGCAGGCTGAACATGAAAATAGTCTCCTACACCTATCTCCTGCATTAGTTTCTGATAGAAAATAGATTGCGAAACTCCAGGATATGAAAAGCCTGACAGATCTACATCACATTGTGACTTAGCATTCATAGACTCACCCATCTTGACTCACAGCAAAGAAGGCTGTTTAACATCCAGCAAACAACAGACAACATCCCGACTAGTAAAAGCTAACCGTTAGCATTAGCAACACCACCACACAGAAAAACTCCTCTAAGTTTATGTTATTTGTGGAGACAAAACATCCCCGTTGCAAATCATTCCTGGCAGAGTCACGTTGCTGTTATCCCATCTGAGGGCAGATATCCAAATATCAGGGAATAATAAGACTGCAAATCTTGCTGTTTGCTGCCACAGCAGACTTGTCTCTTCTGATCCAAACAATTGTGGCTTGCAAGGCATTCATTCCTACCAGAGACCTCTGCAATTGATTAAACAAGTTTACTACACCTTTAAATATCTCTTTGCAAAGAGGTAATCATGTTCACACACAGAGCACAGATGTATTTTTTTATTCTAAAATATTATTTCTTCTCCCTACATGACACTCGATGCTATCAGAAACAAAAGTTTGCTCTCCAGAATCGACCAACACTGCCTTTTCTACAGAAACTCTGCCCACCACCACATATGTGAATGGCGTGAGCCCAAACCCTCCCTCTAGTGAGGATCCACTCAGTCCAAAGTCCTCCCCACCACAAACGGAGCCTCTCACCCAAACGGAGAACCCTGATCCTCAGCCACCGCTGCTGACCAAAGCACCCCCACACCAGCTATTGAGCATTCATCACACTCTTTTTGAAGAAGACGAGGATCAAGAAAACACAAGAGACAGATTGGCAGAGAGACCCAGAGAGCTCATTGCTGCTGGAGAATGTTGAAGATTCTCTCCTGCAAACCATGAACTCTACAATCTTGACTACAATGTCGATCGACCCCAAACAACCTCTCATCCCCACTTTTTCTCCTCATAATAACATACACACTTTATAGAGGTAGAATGGGCTGGCTGCCAAGCTAGAAACAGAATGAAAAAGTGTGACTGTAAAACAAAAAAATAACTTTTCTGTGCCGAAAGGTGGAATATGCGTGCTTGTTCATGTAGCTCAATGCATTTCTGTAGGAAATGATGTCTCATCCATGTCTCAGGATGGCTGTGTTTAGCTTGTGTTTAGCTGATCACGCTCCAATGAAACCAGCAGTGATTTATTTCAACAGGGTGCTACAGTGCAGGGTCAAACAGCTGTAAGGAAAAGGCAGGAGAACGCTGAATGAATGAGCATTCTAACATAAAAACAATAGTGGCAGACACTTTTTAATTATGACTTCAGACACAATTTTAAACACATGAAAATGCTTGTGTCCCTTTATCCCACTTTAGCCAAGTAGAAAGGTAGCTCGTGCAATACAGTTGTTGAGGTCTGCACAACTAATATGCAAAAGATCACAATATATTTGTGGCAATAATGGATGCGCTTAGAACATCATTCTCCATAAATATGCTTTACATCTGTAGGCGCTGTATATGTGGCGTGTTTAAAATATAAAATGTTTTTATGGCTTTTCATTGTCATCTCACGATTGCTATGGATACTTGACTACATGTGCACATGATTAATAATCACAAATTGGCTCACGTGAAGGAAAAACTTAAACAGTCTAGATAATGTATCAGATCTTGCCAATAAGGGAACATTTCAATGAAGAAGGAAAAAAAACAGGTATGGTGTGTGCTGCTAATTTTAGGGGCACTTTATTGTGAGGAATGGAAGAATACTTACAGGTAAATAACTTTTTTGGCCTTCTGGTGGCTTCCCTCCAGAGTGGTGTTGCGCAAAGTGAACAAGGCCATTTCAAATGACGAAGCTTGATTATTGGTTGTCCTTGCACAATCTGCAATTCACTCAGTAAAGGAAACCACAAAACTGAGGACTTTAAGAAAAAAAGTATCTGAGACTTATTTTCACAGGAACCACATTAGTGGGAGGTGGGAGCCTGTCACAATCCTCCATATGCATTTCTGCACTCAAGAAGTTCAGTAAAGGAAGAATATGTATTTTCTGGCACATTAACATGGCATCTGTTGTAAAAATACATATACAGCACTGTTGTTGGTCTATATATTGTTCACCTGATTTTCTAGGGCATTAAATGCACACATTGTGGCTTAGATAGGAAAACTGCACTTTTCCCACTCATAGTTTAGCTGATAATCTGACTTTTAAGGCTGCCTCAGAACCCCTTTGGTATACAACTCAAGCACACCGAAATGCATCCTCAAGCACTTTAAGACTAGTAGCACTAGTGAGTGTAAGAGCACGTTGTAACACAACTCGGCCTAAAACTCATTTCCTGTGTTGATTTTAAGGCTGTTGAAGAGATCAACCTCTGCCAGTAAACACTGAATACAGACTCTGATTGTAACCTGTGAAATGTTGTAGTACAAATACATTAAAACAGTTTTCTTTACAAAAACCAAGCATCATGCGCCTCCTGGTGTTGAATGACTACATGTACCAGAATGCACCGCGGCTGTCAGTTGGTTTAGTACTGAGTGAGCGCTGCTCTGCTGCACTAGCAAAGAGCAGTCCGACAGTTTATGTAAGTAAAACACATTTGTTCTTGGACAACTATCTTTTTCATTACGGTACATATCATGTTAAAGAATAGTTAGATTTATCTGTAAAGAATTTTATTTTAACTTAAATATTTTAATATTTTTCGGTCCGAAAAGCTAACTAGCATTAGCCTGGGTTAGCCACAGGAACCCACCGAAAGTGTTTACTTGTTCCACAGCTGTTAGTAACATTTAACTAGTTTCTAGGCTTGACACAAACTAGTTTACTTCTTCTTTAGCTGTCAGCTTCCCGAACTTCACTAGTAACTAAATGGCATCGTGGGATAAGGTGTTATTTATTCGCTTTTTGGCACAGATCAGTGACAGTTTCTGCGTTTCAACGGTTTTACCTCAGGAGCTTTCATTAGCCAAGCCTGTAGTTACCGCTGTCTCCCAGAAAGCAACGTCAGCAGTTAAATAACGTCCGAGTGTCCGTGAATGCCTCATTGTTCAGTGTTTTTGACCGATTTTCCTTTTGCTTTCTGTCACAAGTGGTTTACAGTTCTGCAAACATGGACCAAGACAATAATTTAGAGGTGAGAAGAATGAACAAATATGAAATATTTTTCGCTATGATTTGAATTTTTTCTTTTCTTTTAAAACAGGCATTCAGATGCTGACATATTCTTTCTCAATCACATATTAAAGTGTTTCTCAAGACAGTCAGGTTTAGACTTGATTAATGTCTTAAACTCCTAAGCAAGCAAAGCCTTCTGTGTTTGACATTCTGATGTCTCCCAGGATGAGCCAGTGAGCCATTCAGAAGATGTTCCGCCTTGCATTCCTCCTGGACTCGGTAGGCTGGAGTTTTTTTAATCTCATTCTTTTAGATTAAAGATTGTGTTGTGAAATGTGTTCCGTGTTGCATCAGAAGCCTAGTGTGATATGTCTACATGCTCTGTTTGGCATTCAGCACAGAGAGCTATAACTTCAGTTCTATGAGGAAGTGCTGTTCTCTTTAACGTGCAACACGAGTGGTAATGGTAAATGGTATGCATTTGAATAGATCCTTCAAGGGTTCTACAGCCCCCAAAGGCACGTCACAACACAATCAGGCATTCACCCATCCACACACATTCACACGCTGACGGTGATGAGCTACAATGTCGCCACAGCTGCCCTAACATTTACAGCAGCGAGGCTGCGGAGCACTGGTGCCACTGGTCTCTCCGACCACCGCCAGCAGGCAAGGTGGGTTAAGTGTCTTGCTCAAGGACACAACAGCAGCATTCTCTTTCGGGAGCCGGGGTCGATCCCACAACCCTCTGATTACTGGACAACCCGCTCTACCTTTTGCTGTGAATGATCAGCTTGTCCGACAGGCGTTTTAGTACCCAAAGTTTTGACTGACTACGTTTAATGTCTGATCAGAAAAACAGGTGACTCTTTAATTAATTTGGACACCCATAAATTACATCTGTTCAGACATTTAATTTCTCAAACAATTTTCATAATTATTTATATATAATTATAAATTTAAATATTTGATATAAAATGATTATAGCTTTGGGGCTCCAGCACATTTCAAAGATATCCAACAGGAGTTGGATGACCTTCTTCACCACACTCTCTTTATTCTGCTCTCCCCACCTATTCCACCTTCCTCAGGATCCACTGATTTCCCTCTTTCCTATTCACTCTCTCTTTTTCTTTACATTTTTTAATCACAATTGTCAAATTTTTTTGCTCATTTTAGATATATTTTTAACCATTTTCTAAATTCTTTTTTATATTTTTACATTTTTTGTTTTTGTGAAGCGCCTCGTGATTTGACGCTATAGAAATGATACTTTCTTCTTCTTGTTGTTTTCCTGTCATGATTTTCTCTCTCTGTTCACGTCCAGCTGATGGCGAGACACTGGACATGCTGTGGAAGCTGCGAGCGCAGCGTCGTCAGTCATCTCCTGAGCTTCCAGAGACAGTGTCCCGTCTTACTGCCCCAGATGGCAGCGTCCTCTACCTGGTGGGCACTGCTCATTTCAGCGACAGCAGCAAGAAGGATGTAGCTACGGTAAGCCAGCCAAACACACACACACACAAAGAAAAAAGCAACAGGATTTCTCCAGGGTGTAAAGCTTTTCACATGTTTAAATTTTGTGAATTGCCAGTAAAATAATGCGTGTAATTAACATTGCCTGAGTGATTATGACTTTCCCTGCTGCTATAAATGTTTGATGCGCCTATTTAGTCGAGCGTTTTCTTCTTTGTTTCTATTTAGATTTTTTTTCTGTACTTCTCTTTAAAAGTCGACCCTAATTTCACACTTCAGTATTGTCATCCTGCATGTTTCTTACTTCCCCCCCGCTGCTCTGTGCTTCAGACCATCCGTGCTGTGCTGCCTGATGTGGTGGTGGTGGAGCTGTGCCAGTACAGGGTGTCGATGCTGAGGATGGACGAGAATACGCTGCTGAAGGAGGCCAAAGACATCAACCTGGAGAAGGTTCAGCAAGCCATAAAACAGGTCAGCTTGTCAAGCTGGTGTTTATAACAGCAGTGGTGTCAAAACGGTGATCTGCAGTGTGAAGAAACAGGGATGCATTATTGTTTTCATCAGTGATTGCTAAACCCTTGTGCTTCTGTGCTGTAGCTGGCCCAGGCTTGCAGGTGTAATTAGGAGTGAGCAAAGCTGTAAATGTTCTGTCTCTAAATAAGTTACTTTCTTCATCTGAAAAGCAGCAATTAACTGTAATCTGATTCCTCCAAGACAGAAAGCTGCTTAAAGAGCCTCCAGTCAAGTTTCTTTTTTGTTTTTGGCTCTTGGGCTGCAACAACGAGTCGATAAAATTTGATAAAGAAATTCGTTACCAACTTTTTTTTGTGTTGTGCAACCTTTATGTAACAGTCAATGCGCGCAGCTCATCTGATGCGGCAGCAGAGCAGACCGTGGCAGATCAGAACGAGACACACATATATGTCGCACGTGTAATTATTGTGTAAGGAATAGGGATGCACCGATGGATCGGCATTTGATCGTAATCGGCCGATAGCGCCGCTATCGGTTTTGATCGGAATTTTCAAAATAGATCAGAGCAAACCGATCAGGTAGGGTTGTCACGGTAACCAGTGTAGCGCTAAACCCCGGTAAAAAAAAAAAAAAAGAAAAAAAAGTTGACAATAATAACCGTCTTGTTTTAAAAAAAACTATATTATCTTGGTGGGTTTACCGTGGCTGCGGTGTAGGCGCGGTGACCCTTACCAGCCACCGTATCATCGGCTGAAGTTGCCGGCGGCACATGCACGCTTTGTTTACAACAAAACTTTCTTGAAGCTAAAGCTGAAATAATGGTCAAAGGAGGAGACGGCAGCGCTCAGGAGGACATTTATTATCCCTCAAAGAAGACAAAGTCGGAAGTACAGGCATATTTTAGATATTTGAAGAATGCCGAGGGAGTTTATGGAAGACGGACGGCTATCCTGTTTGCAGCACGAGCAGAAAAAGTGTCTGTGAACGGCAGCAACGCTTCAAATCTCATGACACATCTGCGTGACCATCACCCACAACTCTACAGTCAATGCAAGGCAAGTTAACGTTAGCATTTTAGCCAAAATGTGTGATCCGAGGATTTGGGTTGAGGGAGAATGCAACGAGTCGCTATATAAAGCAGCCGCAGCGCTGCTACCTGCATATAAACCGTGTCGCGGACACCCCCATGTTGAAATGACGCTATGCGTTACGGGGCTCCCAGGGGCAGATAAGAGTTGGTCTCTCTCTGAGAATAATTATGAATTTAACAATGATTACTGTCTGATGACATTTTCCCACATCTGCAAAGCTCACTGGAAGGACACAAACCGAGGACAATATTTTCCTGATATAGGGTTTATTACTCAAGTAAGGGTAAAAAAGTATCTGATCAGAAGGCTACTTGAGTACTGAGTATCATCTGATCTAATATTTTTAAAATGATGACATCAAACAGACATAAAATAAGAAGTTATGGGCAAATATTGGTATTTTAAAGACTGAAGGGGAAAATGTAAACAAATAAACAACTTAATTACAAAATAACACATTTTAGGCAAAATTTAGACACAAACTGAGGACAATATTTTCCTGATATACAGGGTTTATTTAATTGTGTGAAAATGTAGCACGTTTAAAAAAAATACCGCGATAATACCGAAAACCGTGGTAATTTTGGTCACAATAACCGTGAGGTTAAATTTTCACACTGTGACAACCCTAACCCCCAAATTCCACTACCTCCGCTCCTCTGCGCTCCGCTCCGACACGAATGCCAGAGCAAAATCGGTCCCGTTGTAGTCAATCAGAGCAATTCCACTACTGCGGCTGTGCTCCGGCAGTGCGGCGCCGTGCGCCGCCCTCTGTTCCGGCGTCCGGCAAAAATAGAATCGATCCTATTTTTGCCGGACGCCGGAGCACCTCCGCAGTCAATGGACAGGAATCACAACCGCCCAACAGGAAAAGGAGCGAGCACAACTTCTGTTTTTCACAATAAATCGATAAACAAAAGGCGTTTTTTGTTTCATATGCACAGGTTTAACAACTTTTAACAACTATCAATGGCGGCTGAAGTTTAAATGCACAAAAGTAAGCCATAAATACAGTTTCTACTATCAAAGTAGTCACACTTTGTTGATCCAAACTAGGGCTGTAGCGAAGCCTCAACGAAGTCGACGGCTCGATTCTAAAAATTTGTCGACGTCAGATCCGGAAGTCGACGCACCGCGCCCACTTGTTGCATCCCCAGGAGTTTGTAAATAGAGGAGGAATCTGCCTGTTTTTCCTCTAGTTCGCCCTCTTCTCCGCCTTCACTAACATCTCCGCCAAACACCGAAGACCCGGAACAACGTCCGTCCACTACTAGATTATTTTCCTGTTTTGCCCGCCTTCGTCTCCCGGCAACGGACAACAACTTCCGGGGTCAGATGCGCTGCTTCGTCTCTACCACAGATGTAGAACATCACCGGGAGCGTTTCTCCCTTCATAAAGGAGCTTCTTTCAGACATGAGGAGAGCTGTTTTGGTGGTAGCAGTCTCTCCTCCATGCTGGTCTGTTTGCTGCTGGGTGTTTTTGGTTTATTTAAACTTGGTAACTTGAACTTAACGTTGGTAAAGCTACTGTTAGCATCTTCGCTAACAGCTTCTTGCGTTGGGATAAGCTGTTACGTTTTGGTTTAGAGTTAATCTTTTTTGTGGTGTAGATCTCCCTTTTATTACATTTAGTGTTGTGGGTTTTCGGTTTAGTTTAAAATATCACCTGAGTTTGGTTTAACCTGTAAGACCACTCGCCTCACGCACATAAGTGACCAAAACAAAGCAGCATGGAGACACTCCATCTTCTACCACCTCTCAGGCAGCAGCCTGCACTCCCAAGTTCTACACGTCACCAGAACATAAACAACCGCAACACAATAAAAGCAGTGTTATACAAAATGGAAGGTCTGTAGTGTTTATTCTCTTACAGTAAGAATTTATCAATTTTTTTGAGGAATTTATTTGAGATTTTCTGGTTTTTGTTAATTGTGCAATAGAAAAATAATCATTAGATTAATTTTCTAAATAGTCATTAGAATAGTCGACTATTCGATAAAATAATCGTCAGAATAATCGTTTTAAAAATAATCGTTTACCCCCAGCCCTAATCCAAACACTGCTGATCTGTCAACACAAATGATGGGCAGATTAAACAGCTCATGCCGATGTTTCTCCCACACAACGGGTGTTTGGATCTAACTTCCGCGTTTACTGCTCGGACTGTATCGCAAGATCTCGAAAATCCCGCGCATGCTTGTTTGCCCCCCTCAGGTCTCCGCACCGGAGCGGAGCCGTTGTAGAGCGGGTACCAGTAAAAATTGAGTTCGGAAGCGAGTGGCTGCGGAAGGCGGGGGCGGACCGGAGCGGAGCGGAGGTAGTGGAATTTGGGGGTCATACAGACCATTTTAGATAGGTTACATTTCCTTTATTCCCAGATTATGTAGTTTGTAGCACTCATTATAATGTTGTAAAAAATTTCTGGCCAATGAACGTGATCGGTATCGGTGATCGGTATCGGTGATCAGCGTTCTTTGATATCGGTATCGGTGATCGGCAGCAAAAAACCTGATCGGTGCATCCCTAGTAAGGAAGGTGTCTTTTAGTGGCACACACTGTGCTAATCTAGGTGCTGTGGAGGAAAACAGATAAACCAGCAAAGACGCAGTGTAACTACAAGCAGATTAGCTAATGCTAGCGGGCACCAGGCTCCCGATCAAGTGGGTTCCGAAAAAACACGATGGTCGTGAGACTAAGAATATCTAAACTCTACAAGAGGAAGAAAAATCCCCATCATCATCCTGTTTATTAGCTGTTTGCAGGACCACGGAGCAGAACCGGTGTTGTGCCAAAAAGCGACTGGCTGCCAAAAAATGATTAGCCACCGCGGGATCGCACACGGTTAGGGTAATTGCATTCCTAGACGAAATTCCCCGGGATTTCGCCTTAAAACTCGGCATATCTAGCAAAATGGACGTTGAGAAAGCAGAGATAACCTCGTCCGGTACTTAAACGGATGTTTATCGCGGATATTAGTTTTTTCCAGTTCAGAAGTTGTTTTAAGTGTTGCTATTTGTCTTAAACGTTCACAGTGAGGATATATTAATCCTTTTTGCAATATTTGCGATTGAAAGATGGTTTGTGGTAAGAACTGGCTTTCTTTATGTTACAGCCTTGATACTAAAACATAAATAAACAATGTAAAATGACACCCTGTATTGAATGTAAAGTCAAATGTTGTATAAATGGAAATTCTCCAGCGATTTGATTTATTCCCCCTTCCTTTCTTTACTCCACTTGACATGGAGCCACAGTTAACTAGTTTGGGGCAAATTTTTACTTGAAAAATAGTATTTAAACTGATCAAGCTTTGGCTTTAATGACACTGTGTAGGTTACTATCTATACATTACGTTGCTTTATTTAAAAGTAACAAGATAAAAGCACTTCAGCACATAAAATTAAGATTGTCACTTACCAAATAGAGACTACACCCTCCTGTTTACCTATAAGAAATGCCTCAAAATAGCTTTAAATTATTTATTGATGATTTAATTGTAGACAACTAAATTGGCATTTTACTTGCCAAACAGTGATTGGATCGCTCAGTTTTTCATGGAGGCTAAAATTGACCAATTAAGGGTTTTATGTATTATCTGTTGATGTTACTGTACTCATACTGTCTACTGTATCATCATAAACACCCCAAAATGGCCAAAAACGATAATTTCCCTTGCCAAAAATTGATTACTGTGTCCTGGTCAGCTGTAAAGGGTTAAATTGACCTACATATTACTTTATTTATTATCTCTTGATGTGATTAGTCCCATCACAGGATGCTGGGTCTCTTTCACATTCATAAACAATTTCTGGCAAGGGAAATGATCATTTGTTGCCATTTTTGGGGTGTTTATGATTGTGGAAGAGACCCAGCATCCTGTGATGGGACTAATCACATCTAGAGATAATAAACACACACACACACACACACACACACACACACACACACACACACACACACACACACACACACGACTGTCTCAGCTGTTATTTTCGTTACGGAGTGTGCACGTACAGCATGCGCGCCTCGTGCACGAGCCTACTATTGAAGCTGCCATTACGCTTTTGGCCTGAGGGGGCAATCGCGAGCATAAAAATTCAAAAGTCCGAAAAGTCCCTTTAAAAAGGGCTTAAATCTTTATTTTTTCTTTTGTTCATCAGAATGGGCTGATGTCAGGCCTGATGCAGATTCTCCTGCTCAAAGTTTCAGCTCACATCACCGAGCAGCTGGGAATGGCACCTGGAGGGGAGTTTAGGGAGGCATTCAAGGAGGTAAATCATTCACAAATATGTTTTTCATGCAGCAGTTGTGCCATATTTATTCTGATGTTTTAGTTAGGATGCTAAACGGGAACCTCGGTCCCAACTTGAATGTGTCATGCCCAAAAGGCTGCAGAACAGAAAAGCAGAGGACTGGTTTTATATGTTAGATTTATTTTTCTTTTCTTTCTTTTTTACATACCTGCAAACTTTGTGCTTTTCGGCGAAAAAAGTCATTTTTGAAGCCGAATATTGCGTTTGCGCGAGTCGTGTACAGCTGAAGAGTTTTTGTTTAGGGGGTGGGTTGTCTCCTGTTGGGTTTTGGTCACTCTTTATGAGAATCAGAGAAAGGGGTTCGTCTTGTTCACAATCTTTATTCTAGCGTGTTAGTCACATGTCATCATTTAACCAATCATAGTTGACAGCACGCTGCAGACGACGAGGCAGAGGCAGCGGTTTTGAGCTTAAAGTTTGTAAAATCAAACAAAATCACCACTAAATAAAATAACGTTTTTCTGTCAAGGACTTAAGCAGATTTTTTCCGAGGCTCGTCATGTTTTTGTTTTTGGGAAGTTGAGCTCAGAGTAAACACCGCCAGTATTTATCTGGGCAGTGGAACATTTAAGGGTGCTGGAGGAGAAGCGCGTGATGAGATAATTTCATAATAATGTAACATTTCTGCTGCATTAAAGAGTCAGAACAGCATTTTGCCCTTAGCAGTGGTTTATTAAAGTATTCAAGCAAACAGCTGAGATAAAGCTGCATTTACCTGCAGCTGCAGCTTAGAGCCCTGCACGGGCCTAAAATCTGAGCCCGTGTCCGGCCCGGCCCAAAAAGGTTTTCAGGATTCTCTGGCCCGACCCAAGCCCAAGCCCGACTTTTTTTTAACCTTTCATAATGTTTTAGCGTGATAGAAGGCTCAGCATTCTAATTATCTGTGAGAAGCATTCTGCAGTAAAAAATAAAAAAATAAAAAGAAAGAAAAGAAAGAAAAACAGCATCAATGCAGCTTTTTTTTTCTAACAGAGCGTATTTTTCGAGCGGCAGATGAAATTTACGAACACTATATTAATTGGATGCGTTTGTAAATTGAATCTGCTCTGAAAATGCGCTCTTGTGCAATTAGAAAAAAAAGCAGCATTCTAATTTTCTAACTGCAGCGCGCATTTTTAGAGCGGCAGATTAAATAAACGCCCCCAATTAATATAGCATTTGTAAATTTAATCTGCCGCTTTGAAAATGCGCTCCCCAGTTAGAAAACCCCCCAGCAATGAATGCTGTACTTTTTTAACTGCAGGGCGAATTTATTCACAGAAAAATAGAATGCTGCCGTTTTCATGAGAATAAACGAATGGTTTCTGACATCAAAGTGGACATAAAACGGCGTATTAGAATAGGGGCACATGTTTCAGTCAGCGGTTTGAGAATTTGTTTATATAGGCGCATTTATAAACCTCACAGACCTTGACTGAGCTAACGGGTGCCGGTGCGTGAGAAGCAGGCAGGTGCTGCTGCCTTTAAGTGTTTCAGTTTTTTGTTTTTATGAACTTGATTAAAAATAAAGGCGCCCAGCCCGGCCCGTGTCTGAGGTGATTACACAGTTGTTGGCCCGAAGCCCGGGCCTCGAGCTGTCGGGCCGGGCCGACCCGAGGGCCTAGGGCTTCAGTGCAGGGCTCTACTGCAGCTCTTCCTAAACATTTACCGTATTTTCCGGACTATAAGTCGCACTTTTTTTCATAGCCTGGCCGGTCCTGCGACTTATATACCAAATTATATAGGCTATACCGTGCTGCTGCCGGCCGGCTCCGGACCAGGAATGGGCTCCTGTGCCCCGCTGGGAATAAAAACACACACCGCCATCACCTGCTGGAGCCTGTTGCGCGCTGCTGCGGGCCGGCTGCGGCCCAGGAATGAGCTCTCCCCGCCCGCTGGGAAGGTTTGAAACACCGCCATCGTCTGCTGGAGACCGTGACGCGCTGCTGTGCCCTGGTTGTTTCTTCTGTTATTACCGGTACTTGTCTTGCAATGTGAAATGCTTGGTCTCAGATTTTGTAAGACAAATAATAAAATTTCCCCCCAAAATGCGACTTATAGTCCAGTGCAACTAATATAAGTTTTTTTCTTCTTCATTTTACATTTTATGGCTGGTGCGACTTATACTCCGGAAAATACGGTAATCACAACCAGCTGATCAGAGCAGCAGCACTCATGACTCATAACAGTAACCTCTTAGGGATGATTACAGCATTCTGGAATACTTTCAGGTGTTTTCATGTTTGGTGTTCAGAGTGTGAGTTAGTCCCATAGTAATTCTTAATAAATATATGATGATCCCTAGTATAAAATGTAGTAGTCACCTTTTTTACACTTTCCATGTTTGCAGGTATGTTTTTTTAAGTTTTTAAGGTATTTGTCTCCATTCAGGCTGGACAGGTGCCATTTTGTAAATTTCACCTTGGGGACAGGCCGATCCCTGTGACGTTTAAGAGGGCCATAGCTGCTCTGAGTCTGTGGCAGAAGGTCCGTCTGGCCTGGGGTCTGTGTTTTCTGTCGGATCCAATCAGGTATCACTTTGTCTTCACATCTTCTTTAACCTATAAACATTCAGCACAACTAAAGGAAGAAAAATGCACATTTGACTAGATTTTGAACGCTTCCTGTACCGCATTTTCTACCTTACATCTGAAAACATGAAGAATACCAGATTTATGTTTCTGGTAGTGCTTTGCCTTATTTTTACAATTTGAAAATGGTGATCAAAAGCACTGAAAGAAATGTATATATATATATATATATATATATATATATATATATATATATATATATATATATATATATTGTCAATCAAATGATTGCAAACTGCCATATTTACCCAAATATAGGATGACCCCAATTATAAGACGACCCCTCCTTTCCAAGACTAATCTTCTGGAAAAGACAAAAAAAATCTGTTTTGAAATAAACAATTTTTATTGAAAAATTGAGAACAAATACTGGGCAAAAATACTATTCAAATGCAAACTATCAGAACTTTGCTGAAATGTGAAATCAAAAGTCAAATGAGGCTTTAATTCAGACGCCCTCTGCCTCGCTGTACTCACCCTCATGCTACTGCGGTCCCGGTGTACCATCAGATCGCTACACCTGCCGCCTCCTCCCAGAACGTCGTCCCCACTGCCATCTAATGCATCCATGCATGCAAAGTTTGACGCCTCTGCTGAATTCACCACCGTCATCTTAAAATTCACGTAACTCTGCCTTATAGCTTGTTAACTCGCCCCGCTTTCGGTCCACTCTGCTCCGGTGTCGGTACAGGATCTGCTCGGGTGCAGAATCGGCTCGGGGTCCTTTGACTGCCGATGACGTCACATTACTGCAAATCTACTCGGCTTTCACACATACGTTTTGGAAAGACATCAGCAGTTTTGTTAATAAATTCTTGTTTGTTAACACCTAAATGTTTTCTTTATGATTGTAATTTGTTAATAAAACACCATATTATCTTTGTTTTGTAAAGATGTGAAACAGCATAAAACCAACATCGGCCTGACAAACAATAGAACAGTTCTTATATGTGAAGCCACATCTGTTTGTATTAATGTGGAGTTCGTCTGTATAATTCCTTAGTTGTTATCTAAATACGTTCTTTGACTCAAAATATTGCTTGGTGTCTTTCAATAAAGTTCTTATATTTTATTTTGCCCCATTTCATCAACATCAAGAGCTTTTGAGGGTCACCGTTTATCATTTGCTTATATTTTACATTTCCTTTAGAAATTCAAACACATTTTCTCCAAAAACTGTTGATTTTTGGACTACAGGACTACAACCGCTAAGACTACAACCGCAAATTTGTTCTGACCAATTAAAATCATAACGTGATAACGTCACTTCCGTAATCTTCATGTTCAGCCAATCACCTACTCTGACGTTATCGACAGTCGAAGGACCCCGAGCTGATCCTGCACCCGAGTAGTTCCTGTACCAACACCGGACCTCTGGTCTCCATTTTTTTCTCCAGTTCAGAACGTGCAGCCTGGCGCCCTCTGCTGTTATGAGTGTGTAATGACCCCAGACAATATCAGCATGTGTAATAGACCCTTTTACTGTTTGTAAACAATATGACGTCAGCGAGAATGCACGCGCAGCTTGGCAACAGAGAATGGCGTTGTTTCAGGCTTTATCAAGCTACGCTGCGGGGTTATCACCGGCAAATCTTGAATGTTATATTATTAAACTCACTTTAACGAATGGCAACAGACTCCCGGATCCCTGTGGCATTACGGAATGGGTGGAAGATGTAGGTGTGTGGCCAGATATCCAGTGGCCCGATATATATCCGTTTTTAGTGGAGAGGCCCAGTAAGTACACACGTGAGAAGCTACGGGCATACAAATCGTTAGATGCACACAACTATGTTGTCTGTGGCCACGTACCGAAAGTAAAATATCACGACATAGACTCTGAGTTTTGCGTCTTGAAGGCAGAAGTCCTTTCTAGCCAAAGACAAGGACACAAGACTGCTGTGTACGAGGCTTGGGTCATAGTAAACAAACCAGAGAACTACGTCTTCACAGCCAACTGTACCTGCATGGCAGGGTGAGTATAGCATAGGTTTCTTTTTTTAGCGTGCTCAGAGTACAATCGTGTTAATTTTAGAGGAATACAGTTTATACTAATATGCAGTGGGAAAATGCAGATGAATTAGAATGAAATGTTAATTTGAAGCATGAAATAAAGCGTATAAATTTGTTTAATTCTGTCATTTTGATGTTCCAGACTTGGGTCATGCTGCAGCCACGCAGCAGCAATTTTATTCTAAGTTTAGCTTTGTGTTATAGGATGGAAAAAACAGAAAAGGCTGCAGTTACGTCTCAGGCATGTGCATGGAAAAACCTGAGCAGGAAAAATGTAGAACTTCGGAATTCTGTAAAGTTTCAGTCCACTGCTTGAAGAGAAGCGATTCTGGCATCCACACACGCAACAACCCGACATTTTTATGTGCTCAGAACTTCAAAACAAAGGGTTTAAAACGCTGTTTTAGTATCGAGTGTGAATGAGGAAGCCTTCACTCTCGTTGCCAGGCTGCGAGCGCAACTTTTGATGACGTAGGTAGTAAAAGGGTCTATAAACCCTGATTATAAGACGACCCCACATTTTTAAATTTTCAATGAAAAAAAAAACCCTCATCTTATATTCAGGTCAATACGGTATGTGAGAATAATCAAAGCAGTAGCTGATAATGAGACATAATAAAGTGCAACGTGTGGAAGCTCCAAGTATTTGTGTTCTGTTTAGAATGATTTCATTTTCACTCACACGCTATTTTCAAAGTAAATGTAAATTGGCGAGATAAAAAAATAGAAAAAAATACCTTGTTGGTTTTATTTAGTTGGAATCTGTGACAGTCTGAGTATAATTCATTAAGATTCATTAGTCACAACTTTTATAGTAAAAGAAATGAACATTTAAGTATTTTTAAGTGGACGCTAAATATAACAATGTAAAAAGAGGGGACATGTTTTTAAACGTATCCTTTTTTCTGTTAATGTTTACACGTTTCTTTACTGGAAATGCACTGAAAACAGTTTTGTTTTGTTCAGATATGCTAATAAATTGCTGTTTTCCAGTAAAGAGGACGTAGAGAAGTGCAAGCAAAAGGATTTGTTGGAGCAAACCATGTCAGAAATGATTGGAGAGTTTCCTGCTCTTCACCAAACTATTGTGGCTGAAAGAGACATCTACCTCACGCACGCCCTCCGCCAAGTCACGCGCTGCGTGGAGGCGCCATCTAGTGCCCAGAGTGAGGATTACAGCAGACTTGCCTTAAAAAATGACGTTTATGCAGCAAACTCAATTGATTGCTCTGATTTATTCATATGTTAAAATGATGAGTTCATTGTCATTTATGTTGTACAGTTTATTATTTTAATTTATTATTTATGAAAACAATATGTGATCTTGACGAAACATTGCCCTTTTGGATTTTCTTTCTGCAGTAGTTTTAACAGTTGCATACATTTATACAATATTTTTTGACATTTTTGTCATTAAAAATTCTTTTTGCAATTTATTTTTTGTAAGCAAACCTGTTTTTCTTCTGCAAAATTAGATTTTAATCAGTCACAGCAATGCAACCGTTAGGTTAAAAACAGCTGACAGCATTTTAAATGTTTTGATGTATCTTATTTAATTAGATGTCAATTTTTAAAGTTATGATGTATAAACGAAAAGTTTAAACTTAAAGACTGAATGTTTAACAACATTTTTGACGTTTCTGTAGGAGTGCCTGCTGTGGTGGTGGGAGTTGTAGGAATGGGTCACGTTCCTGGCATTGAGCAGAACTGGGAGAAGGAGCTCAACATTAATGAAATCCTGAGGTATGTTTGATATATTGCCTCAAATATTATAAACAGTAAAAAAAAATATATTACTTGTAAAATCCCTACTTCTTTACCTGTGTCCTCAGTGTTGCACCCCCCTCACGGTTTGGCTGGGTGCTACGAACAGCCCTAAAGGGTGTCCTGGTGGGAATTCTGGGATATGCCTGCTATCGTGCTGGAGGAGGTGTAGGTAGAACGCTGATGTCTCTGCCTGCAGTCCAATCATTACTGGAAACACTGCGGCTTCGTCCTTCTTGACCACACTGGGCGTGTCTCAGCCGTCTCTGACGTGACCTTTGACTTATTAAAAACAATGCATTGATCACGAGTGGCCTTAAAAACAGGAGGTGATGCTGGAGGGACGGGTTCACCAGCCCACATGTCTAAATAACAAGGACCTCATAGGGGTTGAGAGCCCCCACCTCATATCGATGTCCCTGTAGATAACACGGGGGCAATGCTGCCAAAGAAACCGTTACAGTACTCCTAATATTTTGTTTATATGCATTTGCTTAGTAGATTTTGAATTTTACCTGTCATTCCTTACATTTACCTGTGCAGTTTTTATTTGGTAAGCCACACTGGAATCATTTTTAGTCGCCTGCTCAGAGAAGATGTTTTATTTGTGCTGGAAAAGATCGTTTTCTGAGTCCTGTTGTTCGTTATTGGCCCGGCACTTTAGAGAAGACCGTTGAAAAAAACATTCAGGCTTGGAAAGTAAGATGATTTATCCTGTGGTCAACTAGAAACAAAGTGAAATAATATATTTGCATGAAAAAAAGTTGTCTGAAGTGGGAGGTTTACAGTCATGCTCATTACTTTTCATAAATCACCCATCCCAACAATGATGCACGTTCAGGATTTAGTAACATAAACTCTGTTCTGTTGAAGCAAAGTGCCTCAGGTTTCGTCTGTAAGGGCTACAGTTTATTGTTTTCATTTGTATTTCACATACAAATTGTGCAGTTTCCACTAATTCTCACAAGTTTCCAAAAGACTGCTGCTCTTTAAACAGACGCTCAGTTTGTGATGACTCTGAAATGTTTCCACACCAATGTTTTTTGGGTTCTCGTGCATTTTACGGAGATCTGATGCACGACATGAGTGAGAAGTCTTGTAACTTCTATTATGGGATTTACTTACAAAAGAGTGACATGCACATACACGCTCTGCATAATTATTAAAATTTTATGCACAGAAAGCCATTTTAAGAAGTATGTGTCACACAGACAACATCATTCACCAGGTGTCACCAGGCAGTCAGTGCTCCAGGATGTTTGTGAAATCAAAAAATGCATGAATGTATAATTTACCCCTTTTAATTTAAGGATGAACGTTCTTTATATAAGAGTTTGTCTGCTAAACAGTAATTGGGTGGAATAGTGATATTTACCCTTACTTTAATAATCACTGCTGCCTTTACCTTCTGATTGCCTCCTCAGCTATAGCTTCTTACATCACACAACTGTATTTATAATAGAGCTTATTGATGCATGTGTTAAGAGAAAGGTGGCATCCTGTAAGCCACATGGACTACTTTAAAGGACAGTGAATTGTCTGCATGATTTCAGGCCTGCATCAAGAGCTTCCAGGTAATCGTTTTAATTTTGAAGCGATTTGCGTACAGTACTTCTATCTGCTGCAGATGTATGAATGGGTGACATGAAATGAGGTATTTTCAGGTATTAAATTTGGGTCCATTTCATGATACAGTATGAAATGTTCATTTACTTTATGAGAAAATGATCAAAGCACGTGCCAACTATTCATGTTTTGAGTTATATCACATAATTTTAGTTGATAAATAAATGCTCTGAATGCCAGACGATTCAGGTCAAGACGCAGTTCAGATGTTCCATTACTGCAGACTCAGATATTTTATAATAGTCTCCCATTTACGTAAATGTCTAGTGCCCTGGATGTTTACATGTTTTATCATGTTTCTCCATCTTTAAATTCACCCGTCATTCAATGAGTTGTAGGTTATTAAAGCTAAACCTTTTTAAAAAATCCAAATAACGGTCACGTAGTTCAATGGTAGTTATGATGGTAAAATATATTTCCATTTTTTGAGTATTTAAAAATTAATAGCCACAGTTCCTCCTATTTGTTTCTAGTCGGACTAATAGATGTGTAACACGCCGCCATGTTTACAAAACATCCGCTGTAGTTTGGAGGATTATGAAAGCCTGATTAGAGATTGAACACTTTTGGACCGAGTTGGTGGACGATGGCCCGGTTTGGATGGCTTATTTAGGACCTCGGCTCGGAGCTTCACGCATCTTTAGTCACGGTGCGACCGTCTTCAGACTCCTCGGTACTTTCGGTATGGACGGGATGGGTCTGGCCACGAGTCGTTCTCCTCTGGAGAGGCTCGAATTTGACAACGCAGTCCTGAGAAAACTCCCCCTGGACCCGTCCGAGGAGTCGGGGGTTCGGCTGGTGAAAGGAGCGTGTTTCTCTCGGGTGACCCCCCAGCCGCTGAACAACCCTCGCTTCGTGGCGGTGTCGCGGGAAGCCCTGGCGCTGCTGGGACTGGACGCAGACCAGGTCGTGAACGACCCTCTGGGTCCGCAGTACCTCAGCGGGTCCAAAGTTATGCCTGGATCCGAACCCGCGGCTCACTGTTACTGCGGCCACCAGTTCGGCCAGTTCGCCGGGCAGCTCGGCGACGGGGCAGCCTGCTACCTGGGGGAGGTGAAGGCTCCACTCGGCCAAAGCTCCGAGCTGCTCCGGGAAAACCCGAGTGGACGCTGGGAGTTACAGGTGAAAGGGGCTGGACTCACCCCCTACTCCAGGTAACATGAGCAGAGGTTTTATGTAGAGTCAACAAGTCAGGCTTGATCTAATGTATAAAATATACCCGCGTCACCTGCTGGGACGCTCAGATGTCTTTAAGGTGTTTAGTGTCTCTCTTCCACAGACAAGCTGATGGCCGTAAGGTCCTGCGGTCCAGTATAAGAGAGTTCCTGTGTAGCGAGGCCATGTTCTTCCTCGGTGTGCCCACCACCAGAGCAGGCTCTGTGGTCACCTCTGACAGTAGAGTTCTACGGGATGTGCATTACAGCGGGCATCCCCGTCACGAGAGATGCTCAGTTGTCCTCCGAATTGCTCCCACCTTCCTCAGGTGAGTTCTCACTGTCCCAAGCCTCCATTGGAGTTGTCTAAAGTTCTCAGGATGCTCTCGTTGAGAGTCGTTTGTCTTGGCACTGTCCACACAGGTTTGGATCCTTTGAGATCTTCAAACGCGCTGATGAGTTCACAGGCCGACAGGGTCCCAGTTATGGTCACGATGAGATCCGAGGTCAGATGTTGGATTATGTCATTGAGATGTTTTACCCTGAAATCCAGCAGAACCACCCGGACCGGGTGGAGAGGAATGTGGCTTTCTTCAGAGAGGTCAGAACTTCATTTACATTAACTAAGATAAAATGAAGATGCATTTTAATCAGCATTTGGGACTGAAGGTTCTGGTATCTGATGGTTTCCTTAACTTTTGGGGGGGGAAAGTCCAAATTTGTCTACTGAAGGTTGCTTCTTGGTTTTAGATCCTTTTGCTGTTTGCAGGTGATGCATCGGACAGCCCGACTTGTGGCTCAGTGGCAGTGTGTCGGATTTTGTCATGGAGTTCTGAACACGGACAACATGAGCATCTTGGGGCTGACTTTGGATTATGGCCCATACGGCTTCATGGACAGGTCAGGCATGCCTGAAGAAGACCTTCAGTTCCTTTTTTCTGCAGTTCATATAACAAATACAGTTTTCATTATCAAATAAGAAGAAATCTGAATCCGACACATAAACTTCCCATCTCCCTCAGGTTTGATCCCGACTTCATTTGTAATGCGTCTGACAGCTCCGGCCGGTACTCCTATCAGGCCCAGCCGGCTATCTGCAGATGGAACCTGTTGAAGCTGGCTGAAGCTCTTGCCCCAGAACTCCCAGCGGAGCGGGCTGAAGCCGTTATGGATGAATACCTGGATCTGTTCAACCGCTTCTACCTGGAGAACATGAGGAAGAAGCTGGGCTTGTTTATAAAGGAGGAACCTGAGGATGAGATGCTGATCACTGAGCTGCTGCAGACGATGCACAACACCGGTGTGATGTTCATTCCCGTATCATCCAGTGTGAGGCTTTTAATTTAATCCTTGAAATAAACACAGATTGATGCATCTTCTGTTCTTTTTGCTGCAGGTGCGGACTTCACCAACACCTTCCGAAGCTTGAGTCTGATCTGCTGTCCAACTGAAGCAGAAACGGAAGGAGAGGAAGATCTGAGGAGAACTGCGGACCTCCTTCTTCATCAGTGCGCCTCTTTAGAGGAGCTGAAGGCTGCCAACAAACCCACGATGGATCCACGGTGAGCTAAAACGCCAATACACAGTCAAACACTTAGTTTTACCTGATTATAAACACTGAAAATATAAATGCATACCTAGTTTGTTGATGGTGTCGGATCATTTGTACCTGCAGCTAAAGAAACCCATTTACTTCGGCACGTTTCAGATTATTCAATTGAATTCAAGTTTATTTATATAGCGCCAAATCAGGACAAGAGTCGTCTCAAGGCACTTCACATAATAAACATTCCAATTCAGGTCAGTTCATTAAAGAGCAAGTCAACCCCTACCAGATTCTAACTCCACTCCCACTTCCTGTTTGAAAAATACAACAAATGCTGTTGCCTGGCAGATCGAGAGGGTGGAGCTGCTAACAAATACACACACACACAGGCTCACGACAACGTTGTGACATCATAATGTACCAGTTTACATCATAGCATACCTTTTAGCCAATAGCGGTGGCAGATTTAAATTAGAATACAGCGCAGAGTTTTTACCTGACAACTGCACAACACTGCCAGTTTTAGGCAGAATATTTAAATTTTAACTAAGATGCACTGAAGTGCCAAATTATTGACGACACGTGTCTGCAGCACGATTAGACACACATTTATTTAGTTTATCAGCAAAAAAAAGTTTATTTGGGGGTGACTTGCTCTTTAAGCCAATCAGAAATAATGTTTCCTATATAAGGAACCCAGCAAATTGCATCAAGTCACTGACTAGTGTCAGTGACTTTACAGCAATCCTCATACTAAGCAAGCATAAAGCGACAGTGGAGAGGAAAACTCCCTTTTAACAGGAAGAAACCTCCAGAGGATCCTGGCTCAGTATAAGCAGCCATCCACCATGACTCACTGGGGATCGAGAAGACAGAGCAGACACACACACACACACACACACACACACACACACACACACACACACACACACACACACACACACACACACACACACACACACACACACACACACACACACACACACACACACACACACACACACACACACACACACACACACACACACACACACACACACACACACACACACACACACATACACACACACACACACACACAATATTTTATACAGGGTATCCGCGGGTCCTTAAAAAGTCTTAAATTTGCTTTTCCAAATTTAAGGCCTTAAAAATCCTTAAAAATGACAAATAATCCTTAAATAGTTTCCAAAAGTCTTAAATTACCAAAGACCCAATAAACAAGATTATTTTATTTCTATAAAATTTTTGTGAATTTCTAGTTAGCGTTCAGCATTTTTTGTGTATGATATTGGCGTAAGCGGAACCGTACACGTTCGGTTGGTTGTGAAAGGGGGCTATTTTTAGACGAGCACGTTAAGCTAGTGGGAGTTTGTGCCATGGGGAAGTGCAACATTAATGGTAACTGGATGGCTAATCCCACGTTCACGACGTGGTTAGCACCGGTTCCAGGCAATAGCTGGAAATTTTTGCTTAAATTTAATTTAAAAAAAGCTTGAATTTGGTCCAAGTGGCCTTAAAAAAGGTCTTAAAAAGTCTTAAATTTGGCTCCCTTAAACCTGCAGATACCCTGTTATAATATATCAATATTTTAAAAGTTCTACAGCAGATTTTTCTTGCTAGTGGCTCTTTTCAGAAGTCCGTTTTCAGTTCATGTACCGAAACCCTCTCCGTTCTAATTCCCTCGATCAGCTTTTAGATTTCCTGGACAAACTGAAATCACCGCATTATGTTATTTTTCTGTCGACAGTGAGCTTGCGATGCTGCTCTCGTTGGCTCAGAGCAACCCGTCTCTGTTCCAGATGATCTCAGACCGAGTGACGATAGCCAGGCAGTTGGACAAACTCGGCAAACTAAAGGACCTGACGGAGACGAGTCAGGAGGAGCTGAGAGCCAAACAGGCTGAGGAGTGGACCTCCTGGATCACACGCTATAGGTGAGGCTTTGTAAGCAGGAGGAGGTTTTTTTGGGGGGGATAGTAATGGATAGAAACCTGACAGATTAAAGGGCTGGACAGGCTGATAAGGGAGGAAATGGTGTGCTCTGGCGGATATTGTTCCATTACCGAGACTCTGAGTGTGCTGCGTTATCGTCTCCACCTCAGGAAGCGTCTGGCCCGCGAGCTGGAGGGTCAGAGTGACGAGCAGGCTGTGAAGGAGGAGAGGGTGAGGGTGATGAACAGCGCCAACCCTCGCGTGGTGCTCAGGAACTACATCGCCCAAAATGCAATAGAGGCTGCTGAGAACGGTGACTTTTCTGAGGTCAGATTCTCCTCCTTCATCTGCTCTAGTTGGAAAAAACAAACAAACAAAAAATAAATCCAATTTCTCATTCAGCTCTTCTTACTTTTTTATTTTTATTTATTTTTACCGTGCTGCAGGTCCAACGAGTCCTCAGGGTTCTGGAGAAACCGTTCTCCTCTCAGCCTGGACTGGAGCTTCCTGCACGGGTGAGCGGACATGGAACCACTGCACAGATGGAAAGGGACGAAGGCGAGGAGCAGCAGCAACAAGCATCTTCATCAGCAGCCCGAAACCCGGTGCCTTACGACAGCAAGCCCCCAGCCTGGGCACAGGAACTCTGTGTCACATGATCCTCGTAATCACTTCCTTGATTGTTTCCCGCCTAAAGCGACAGGATTGTTGGACAGGGTTGGATCTGTTTTACTATTAATGCCCTCTGTCCAACTTTAATGTTTATCTTTGGCAAGGCAGCATCAAGGGAGTGTGGAGAAGACTGACGCTTCATAAGCTAGCAGGATGACACAAACCCGACAGGAGAGAGGGCTCGAGTTCCTTCTGCTGCTTCCAGGTTTTAACTTCACACAAAAAGCTGCAGAGGACTTTTACGTTAAAAAGGTTCAGTCTAACGCAGCAGAGCAGCTGAATTATTTGGGTGAACTTTAAATTTGTGTAGCAGGCAGAGTAATCTGATGAAATTAACGTGAATCTTTTAAAAGACGCAAAGCTCAGTTCCTCCTCGTGTCTGTTTGGTGTTACTTTTGCTATTTATGATGAGTCAGGCAACAAGTCGTTTTGAGCTGCCTGACTCTGACGAGCTATGGGTTGTCAGTGTGTGTGTGTGTGTATGTGTGTGTGCGTGTGCGTGCGTGTGTGCGCTAGTGAAATAATACTGATTTCACTTCTGTGGGTGACGGTAAATGAGTGCAGTTACAGAAATACGCACAATAAATGTTTCGATAAAAGATTTGTTTATTTTTGCAACTTTTAAATCTTTATTTTATCTAAAATCAGAATTATCTTGTTCCTTATAACATTATTCACAACTGACATTCTCACAATATTTACAATAACAAACATGACTTTGCAGTATTGTGCAGCCCTAATTGTGCATGATGGAGCAGCATGGACACGATCGGGTCACATGGTCTGTTGGAGATGTGAAAATTGTCCTTCTGTGATCAGCTGATCTAAAACTCAGAAATCTGATGGGTTTTGTTCTGTGGTCTGTGAACTAATAATCCTCTTCCATGTACATTTTTTATTCCAGATTTATTAATTTTATCACAAATTGGAGAGACACCCCTCTCTTAACCCCTTGATGCATAATGGTCACTACAGTGGACTCAAAATTATTATATATATATATTTGCTATTAAGCACAGCTTTTGAAGACTTTATTGCATGTGAGCCCCTCCATTTGGACTTCAGTAAGTCAAGCCACCATATTTCATGTTCAGAATGCACGCTGTCCACTGATATGGACATGTAATAAATTATTTATAAATTAAATGTAACAAAAATATGTAAATATGAAATTTGTTTCATTTATACCTAAAGATGAATGAAAAAATTTGTTAAAAAATCATGGTTGAAGATTTCATAATTCATGCATCAAAAGGTTAATTATAGTTCTTTGAAACCTGATCAGCGAAACATCGGTTTTGGTAAATTAGAACTAAAGGAATTGTCCCTCAAAACCAAAATATTTTCTGTTTTGTTCTAAGCTCAAAAATATCTGAAGCTGTTGAAATGACGAATGTTGCATAAGATGAATTATATATTCTGATGTTCTTGTTTTTGATGAGTACATAGGAATTGTGGAACCAAATGTATATTTATTATTGCATCTAATCATTATTTTTTCTTTAGGATGAATTACTTTGTCTCTTATTTCAAAATAAATATACCATTTATGGGTTCTGTGTTTTTATTTATTTTTTGCTCTTGATGGCCACATAGCAAAAATATATATTCTAGAAGCAGTTAGTGCTGCAGGCTGATGGTTGTGTTCATGTTCCAACAGGTTCTTAATTATTACCTCCAGAACTGCAGGAATTCAGTCTTTACATGGGACCCACCCCCACTCAAAATGAAACCGCATCACGCACCTGTGCGTCAGCGCCACCCTGTCGGACTCTTCATTGTTTCGCTCTTCTCCACCTTTAATTGTTCAGCGTTTGCCGAACTCGGGAGTGGCTTTTGGCGACCTCTGGGCGCGCGCAGCGACGCACGAGCGCATAAAGGTGGATCTGGGACAATGTGTGTGTAGCCCCGGAAGAGACAAAGGGATTATAACATCGGAGCTTTTCTTGTCTTTTTTTAAATTAAGTGTAGAAAACAGGCAAGTTCCGAGGTTAGAATGAAGCGGGTCAGACCAGGTTTTTACTTGAAGGAAATAAACCAAACCTCGTGGAGAGTGCCGGAGCGGTACCAGGACCTGAAGCAGGAGGGGGTGGGAGCGTACGGAACAGTGTGGTGAGTGGAATCTGAAGCTAAATCTGGACGACTGATTTTACTTTATCTTTATTTTTTAACTGGTGTGGAAAGACATTTATGAGACAGACTCGCACGCTGTTTCACTTCCTCTTTTTGATGGAGTCGCTCGCCACACCACCACCTCCTCTACAGAGAATCAGATCGGTGTTAAGATCGGTGGAAAACACCTAAACAAAAGGGCACCGAGCACCTTTTGTGCTCAGTGTTGGTGAATGATTAACTGTGGGCGGCACCAACCTGATCAGATGGCTGAACGTAACAATAAACATCAACTTGTTTGAAAAGCACCCTGCGACAAAGGAATCAGCTGCTGTGGATGGGGAGTTGCAGCAGAACTTCAGCTGTTGTGAGGGTGTTCTCTGCTTCCCTGTTGACAGGGAAGTTTCTAAACAGTTTCCTCATACTGGGCATGATGTAGGTGATGTTTTCTCCTCTTTCAGCTCAGCTCTGGACACCAGAACAGGAGCCAAAGTTGCAATCAAGAAGCTCTACAGACCCTTCCAGTCTGAAATCTTTGCAAAGCGGGCCTTCAGGGAGCTGAGGCTTCTCAAGCACATGAAACACGAGAATGTGAAGCACAACTCCATCCTCCCATTATCATGTCTGTTTTTATTCTGCGATGGGATCAGAGCGAAAGTAACATTTATTCCCCTGATTTCTTTGCAGGTGATCGGTCTGCTGGATGTGTTCACGCCAGACCTTAGTTTGGACAGGTTTCGGGATGTGTACGTAAATAATGTTTTCACCAACTTTCTACTTGTGCACATACAAACAATAACTTATTTAAATGTACAATTTTTATTTGGCTTGTCAAGTTTTATAGTGATGCCGTATGAGCTGACAGATCTGGGAAAGTTGATGAAGAAGCTTAAGCTATCAGATGAAAAAATAAAGTATCTGGTTTATCAGATGCTTAAAGGTCTTAAGGTAAAAACCATTACTTTTGATAATTGAGTAAGGTGTTTTTGCTTCACTTAATGAAACATGTGTTTTGTTTCCTTCTCGCAGTACATTCATTCTGCTGGCGTGATTCACAGGGTAGGCCTGTTTCGGTGACCTTTCGACAGTTATGGTCTCTTTGCTGCCGAGCCAGACTTCGTCTTTTTATCTTTTTCAGGATTTAAAACCATCAAATCTTGCTGTCAACCAGGACTGTGAGCTCAAGGTGCACCTGTTCAAACCGATAGACTCATCCCACCATTGGTCTTGACTTAAATAATATTTTTGTTCCATCAGATTTTAGACTTTGGTTTGGCACGGCAGACGGACAGTGAGATGACGGGGTACGTTGTGACTCGCTGGTACCGGGCTCCAGAGGTCATGCTGAACTGGATGCATTATACACAAACTGGTAAGTCCACCTTTCACCACATTTTAAGAACATTTTTGTCTTTTGTTTGCAAAGAACCCACTTCTATTTCACAACTAACTTGTCCTTCCTCTGGAAATTTACATTTTACTGAAATAACAACTTTAAAGAATGGAATCCGATGCTTTCAACAGTGTCAGGCTTTTTAGGTGGAAAGCTGTAAAATAAAACCTGCTGTAGCGGATCAAAATCAGTTTTACTTTTATTATTTTATGAATATTCAGATTGGGGTAGACTGATATATCGGGCTGATATTAGGGATGCAACGATATCACTTTTTTCCAAACCGATGCGATACCGATACTTGGATCTGAGGACTCGCCGATACCGATTACCGATACTTCTACCAAACAAAAAAATACAATGAATTGTAATACAGGTTTTATTTTGTTCTGTTTTCAACAGGAAAAGACTGTGAGGTAGATAAAAATTAAAATTTGTTAATATAAATGATCACAAAACTAAAATATTAGATGAACAGAAATGACAAGTTACAGTGAAGTAACTTTCAAGCAACTGCATTGGTATCAGTTACTGGTATCTGTTAACTTTTACCGATACCGATACTGGTATCGATATCTGCATCGGGGTGCGTCCCTAGCTGATATTTACCTTTTTTTTTGCGTGTCTGCCGAGTTTTGTCCTTTAGTAAAGTCGATTTTAATGTCAGGCACATCCTCAGGCAGCCTGTGCTGTTGCTGAATTTAATTTAAATGTTTTTTTTTACGTTCACTGATAACATCTGCATATTTAGATGTCTGAGCAGTGCACAAAGATAAGATTTAGTAGTTAGCTAAATTCAAAAGATTCAGCTTCAGAAATTTTGTGCATAAACTGATGTTATTAGTGACATTTTAGCAGGAAAATGAGGTGGAAAACCTCTAAATATCGGTCATGAAAATCGGCAGTACGTATCGGCATCAGCATTAAAAAAAATAAATAATAAAACTCATATCGTTTGACCCCTGATTAAGATTGTGTGTTTTATAAACTAGTAAACACATCAAGAAAATTTGATTTTTTTTTATCTATAAAACAATTTCAGCTGCTCAGAAAAACAAATTGTAGCACAAACCTCACATATTTATTAATTTCATCCAGCAGATCCAGTTATCCAGTTATTATTTTTATGCCTGTTGGTTTATGCTTGACGCATCCGCGAGGTCCGCACGGCGAAATTGCGTCATTTTAACAACCACGCCTCCGCACGGCCCACAATTTCCACAACGCACACCTAGGAAAATTTCTAACCACGCGGACGGTCGGATGCGGAAAAACATGGCGGACGGGCAAGAACTAGTATGGCAGAGGTTCGTAAATACAGACATTTGTGTGATTCAGCTCTGAGATCACCGTGATCAACATGTTGTTAATAATTCTTGGAGAGAAATAGCTCGCACTGTTAGAAAAGACGAGGACGCTGTTGAAAATGCTGAAATGCCATGTTGTAAACAGTGATTTTTACTTCTATGGTGTAGTGTTGGATGCATGCCGTAGAGCTCCATGCTGCCCCCTACAGTTTGGGAGAATATTGGCTCACCGCAGAGACGAGCCGCATGAACCATAAACGCTGCAAGTTGTGAAGCGCGCTCCATCCGCGAGCCGCATCACCGCGGGGAAAGTGAATGTGTCAAGCATAAACCAAGCTTTACTCATCACTGTCAGTCTGTGTGGCCAAGTTTCCATGAGCTATAATTTGTGTCTCATCTCCAGTGGATATTTGGTCGGTGGGCTGCATCATGGCAGAGATGCTGCAAGGAAAACCTCTTTTTAAAGGGACCGACCGTATCCTTTTTCCACTGACACTGAAAGACGTTTATTTTTGTCTCTCCAACATCAACATAATAACAGATGATTTCTCAACGTTTGAGCCTTGAATGCTGCTGCTCAGATCTAGATCAGCTGGACCAGATCTGGAAGGTCACAGGAACGCCGACCAAAGAATTCATATCAAAACTGGAGTCGGAGGATGTTAGCTCAGTTTCTGAACTTGCAAAATGATTCTGGACATAATATTTAGGTGCATTTTTAAGCTTATTATATTTATATCTGTCTCCTCATCAAGGCTAAAGAATACCTAAAGAATGTGTCACCAATGCCCAAAGCAGATATGCAGAAGTTGTTTTCTGGTGCTGGTCCACATGGTAGGACAGCAGTTTTAATTCATACATCTCAACTCAGTCAAACCCCACCCTAAAATCTTTATTTCACATTTTCTGTTTGTCTCCTTCTTTCTTCAGCTGTGACGGTGTTGGAGCACATGCTGCAGCTGGATCCGGAGGCCCGGATAACGGCTGCAGAGGCGCTCACCCTGCCTTACTTTGCAGAGTTTCGAGAACCAGACGAGGAGACGGAGGCTGAGCGGTACGACGATGTGATTGACAACTCCGACCTCAGTGTGGATCAGTGGAAACGTAAGGATGATATGAGGGGGGGAAGGGCTAATCAATAGCTGGAGGCCAAAATAAAGGAGTTCAGAGGATGTAATTTCAGAATGGTTGATAAGAAATGGGATGAGCAACATGAGCAATTCTGTTTTATTGAGTAAATTCTGCTGGTCTTCTTTCTGCAGGACATGTCTTCACTGAGATCTTGACCTTCAAGCCTGTTTTGTCAAATTCCAAAGAATCTGCCCTTTAAGACTCCCAAGCTGATGACTAGAACAAATTAAACGTCGCCTAAAATCTGCAATTTGATCACAAGGCCTAATGAAGCCTGCTCAGGATGTTCAGATGTCAAACAGCTGTAAAATAACTCTTGCAGCATTAAAGCACAAAGTTTTATTGTTAATCTGAAACTGAAGTGACACAACAGGAAAAAAAAAAGCTTTTAAATGACTAGTTTAGAGATGCACATTCATGAATATTTTTAAAAATAGTTTTTTTTTGTAATTCTGTGGAGTTGTCATCAAATTCTTTCCTGTGAGAGCATGAAAGCATCACACACCGCTAAAATTCATCTCTGCAGGCATTGTCTGGCCTACGCGAGCTGATGCCACTACACCACCCCTCTTCCCCCCACAGCCTTCTGTGTCTAAGTGCAGATTAAAATTGGAAGTGGGCACCGGCACCTGGGATGAGGCTGAAAGATCCCCTTGCCAAATGCCGTGTGCTTACTCCCAAGGCCCTAAGTGTGTGTTTGCGTGGAATGTCGTTGGTGGAAGTGTTTAATGTGCAAATAAAATTAGGGGGGCAGGCTGTCACAGGAATGTGGAAATGGGGTCCATACCTGTACCCCCTGACTTGTCCACCCCTCAAAGTCCTATGTGCATGTTTGTGTGATGATGTGAGGGAGCACGAGGAGAAAAATGTGTGGGGATGGGGAGGAATGGCCGGTTGACCTAAGCCCTCCAGGGATCCAGCTCCCCCACTGGCCCAGTAAGCACCTCCATTGCTAAAATGCCACCCAGGGCATGGAGACCCCAACCCATCTTACCACGGCCCAAAGCAGCAGCATTGCAGAGCTCCACAGAGTTTGAGGGAACCAACGCAGCCCCACCCCAGCAGAATATCTACTCCCATCCATGCATTTGCACAGCTTCCAGAATATATAAGACATAGGACATCCAGGTAAGGTTGGGTCCTCCCCCTCCTGGATATCCCCCTCCCCCGTGATGGACAGCAGAGGAGCCAAGGTCTACCTGAGTTCCCTGAGCCCGGGCCAGGCTCTGCTGCATGTTCTCGCCTTCTTCCCGGCAGCATACATGTCACGAACCGACCCCCAAGGCCCCGCCCAGATCCCCACATGGGGCCGGCCAACCCCACACCCCTAGCCCCCAAGCCCCCACCCAGACCTACTTAGGGGCATTGCAGCCACCAGGCAGCAACCCATGGCCACCTCCAAGACCCCCAAGGGGCCCCACTCACAACCGCCAGTAGTCGCCCCCCCCCCCCCCCCCCCCCCCCCCGTCCCCCCGAGGCAACCCAAGCATCTCCAGAGGGAGGCAGCTGCCCCCAGCCCCAGACGCCTCCAGTGAACCCACCCTTGGGGAACGTCCGGATACTCCAAACTCAGACCCTCCATCCCACCACCCACATCACCCCGCAGGACAATATCAGTGACCCCCCATCATCGCTATGTGATGGAACCGATCAAAGGAGCCCAAAGAGATTGACTTGAAGTGGAAGCAGAGGCTGTATCAAGTGCAATATGATCTAACAAAATATTTCTATACTGGTTAATGCAAAGAGTAGCTGTGTTTTTCCAATTCATGAGGATAGTTTTCTAAGTGATGCATATGGCAGTCAGAACCACGTGAACCAAAAATGTTTCAATCGGGACATCGTCCAGGTTTCCCAGCAAACAAAGAGAGGGAGAAGTTGGGATATGACATTTCAGACACTTTGACAGGTCTTCACATACTCTACCCCAAAATTCCTGGACAGGTGGACAGGACCACAGTGCATGGATGTAATTGTCAGGAATGTTGTTTGTGCAGCGTGTACAGGTGTCACGACACAAACCCCATCCTGAACATCTGATGACCTGCATAGTGTACTCTGTGTAGGATTTTGCACTGAATTAATTGTAAATTGGGGTGTCTGATCATTTTAAAAGTTCTTAAACAAGTTTGGGACCAGAAGTTCTGGTCATAGCTGACTGATAGATCCACCTCCTATTTTTCAATAGGGATTGCTATTCTATCGTCTGTTTTGGACAGTGTCTCATAAATTTTAGACAGTAGTTTGGGGGGTTAGAGACTATAGAAGTCTATAATACCATTGGTGGTGCTTTTAATTCTACTTTATTGAGCTTAAATTTTTAACTACAGATTTAATTTAGTGATATTCTAAAAAGCTATTATCGATTCCAAATTGGGAGACTGCTCTGTTAAATGGGATGAAGTCAAATTCTTCATATGTGTGTTCCAGGAATATGATTCCTTTATTTTTCCAGTCTGGAAGGTTCATCATTTTGTTATTTTGCAAAATATCAGGATTATTCCAGATAGGTGTGCGTCTGCATGGTATTAGTGAAGACTCTGTCAATTTTAGATAATCCCACCATGCTGCCAGAGAGGTGCTGATATTAATACTTTTGAAGCCTTCATGCTTTCTTATGCTTGAGCTAATAAATGGTAAGTCTGAAAGCTCTATCGTATTGCAAAGTGCATTCTATATCTAACCAGGACTCATCTAGTGGGTTATCTTGCAACCATTTTAGTATATATTGCAGTCTGTTGGCTAAGAAATGATGATAAAAGTTGGGGAGATCCAGTCCTCTATCTTTGGTCTTCTGAAGTGTTTTTAAGCTAATTCGTAGAGGTTTGTGTTTGTTTTTAGCAGACACTTTTGTCCAAAGCGACTTACAAGTGATAATTGGCATGTTGCCCTTGAGGCTAACAACTACTTGACATCAATCATGGAGAGGAAGGAACAAGGAGTGGACAGTAAAGAGGGGGGGTGGGTGCAGGGAGAGTGCTAGTTAAGAAGATGCTCTCTGAAGAGCAGTGTCTTCAGGAGTTTCTTGAAAATTGAAAAGGAAGCCCCTGTTCTGGTAGTGCTTGGAAGGTCATCCCACATTTGTGGAACGATGCATGAGAAGAGTCTGGATTGTCCTGAGCATGGTGTAGGCACTGCTAGCCGACGATCCTGTGATGACCGGAGCGGCCGGGCCGAGACATAAGCCTTTGCAAGAGGATTCAGGTAGATGTGAGCCGTACCATCTCGGACTTTGTATGCTAGTGCTAGCTATTTGAATTTGATGCATGCTGCTAGCGGTAGCCAGTGGAGCCCAATGAACAGAGGGGTGACATGCTCTTTTTGGCTGATTGAAGACCAGATGTGCCGCTGCGTTCTGGACCATTTGAAGAGGTCTCACAGTACAGGCTGGAAGACCAGTTAGAAGGGCATTGCAGTAATCGAGGCGGGAGATGACAGTAGATTGCACCAGGAGCTGGGTGGCATGTTGTGTTAGGTATGGTCCGATCCTTTGTATGTTATACAGCGCAAAGTGGCATGAACGAGCAGCAGAGGCAACATGATCTTTAAAGGTCAGGTTTTCATCAATCACAACACCCAGATTTTGAACTGCCTTTGAAGGAGCCAGAGATAGGAAGTCATTTGGTTTATCCAGCCAAAGGAATTTAGTGATTGGTTTAGATCTCTGGTCTCCTCAGTCGGCTGGTGGCTTGTTTGGGATCATTGAGAATAAGTAATTTATTCTGGGTATGACCATCATTTTAATTATAGCAACCCTCCCCATGAGTGATATTGGTAAGGATTTCCATCTAGCAAGATCGTCTTCCACTTTCTTTAAACGCGAGATGTAGTTTAGTTTAGTTAGATCTGCCAACTTCGGAGATACATTATTTCCTAGGTATGTGATATTCCCTGACTCCAATTGTGTACTAAGTAAATTGACAAAAGAGAAATTAATTGGTAGAACTGTGGATTTTAACCAGTTTATTGAGTAATCTGAAACTCTTGAAAAAGAATTTATCAGTTCTATTGAATGGGAGAGAGAGGATTGAGAATTCTGTAGAAAGAGTAAAACATCATCTGCATAAAGACTGATCTTATGTTCTATTTTCTTACACTTTATGCCTTTAATACCTGTTGTTTTCCTAATTGCTGCTGCTAGTGGTTCGATAAAGATAGCAAACAATGAGGGGGAGAGTGGGCATCCCTGCCTGGTCCCCCTCTGAAGACAGAAGCTAGCTGATATTTGGTCATTTGTCCTGACACGTGCTGCTGGTGAATTGTATAATGTTTGTAGCCAGTTTATGAAGAAGTTCCCCAAACCAAATTTATGTAAAATTGTAAATAAGAACTTCCAGTTAACTCTATCAAAGGCCTTTTCTGCATCTAGAGATAATATACTAGTTTCTATGTTTCTACTGTAAGAGAAATCTATCAAATTAAGTAATCCACGTGAGTTTGTGGATGACTGTCTACCCTTAATGAAACCAGTTTGGTCAGTGTGAATTATAAAGGGGGTTACCTTCTCTAATCTTTTTGCCAGGGCTTTACAAATTATTTTGAGATCAACATTAATAAGAGAAATTGGGCGATAGCTGGTAGGAAATACAGGGTCTTTGCCTGGTTTTAACAAGAGACTAATATTGGCTGAATTCATGTTTGGCTGTAATCTGCTGCTCTCTTTGATTTCCCTCACCATTCTGAAGAATATTGGAGCCAGAATGATCCAGAATTCTTTGTAGAACTCTGCTGGGAGCCCGTCTGGACCTGGAGCTTTCCTTTTAGGCATGGATTTAAGGGCTTCCTGGAGCTCAACTGATGTTAGTGGCGAATCCAGGACTGTAGCTTGGCTGTCTGATAATTTAGGAAGTGTTATCCTGTCAAGGAACTCATTGATCTCGTTATCTGATTGGTTTATCTGTGGTGAGTACAAAGTTTGGTAAAAGTCTCTGAAAGTGTTGTTTATTCTTTCAGGATCACATACTATATTCCCGGTTGAGTCTTTAACAGCAGATATGGTAGTTTTCTCTTTATTTATTCTTAACTGGTTAGCTAAAAATTGACATGATTTATTACTATGTTCGAAGTTTTCTATTCATAGTCTTTGTGCTAAAAATTGAATCTTTTTGTCAATAATTCCATGAAGTTCTAATTTAGCTTTATGTAGTCTGCTCAGTAACTCTTCTTCTAAATACTTAATGATTTCTTCTAACTCCTGAATATGTTTATTTTCTGTTATTTTCTTATGTGATGAGAAAGAGATTATTTGACCTCTCATCACTGCTTTCCCTGCCTCCCAGAGAACAGTTGCGGATGTTCCAGGCAGGTCATTATGTTCTAAATATAAAGCCCACTTCTTTAAA